TATTGCTAAGTTTCTGTTCTTTTATAAGGACGATTTACTCCGAGAGTTTCAACCAAGCTACTGCCTAACGATGCAAAAAGTCCACTTCCGATTGACGTCCGTCGCTCATAAACGCTGTTGCTTAAGCTCCCTAATCATTATTACGCCCCTTTCAGTGGCCGGAATTTCGATTGCCAAGCAAATGAGAAAATAGAGCCTGATATCAGGTTAGTTCTCTATCTAACTTCTCTGGTTCTCTACTTGGCTTTTTAGCTTTTATTGTTTTTTTGTTTGTCATGGGTCTCCGCTTTCCTAGTTTCCGTCGTTCTCGTAATTTTCTTCTACTCCTCAGTGGGTCTAGCCGAATATTTAACAGTTATTCCTCGAGCCCGAATGGGCTTTGAGTCAATAGCCCATGAGACCGAAGGCCGAATGGGTCATTGACTCGGAGGCCACGAGGGCGAGAGGAATTGTTTTAGTAAAATCCAACTAGTTAGTCAAAAATATCAAGAATAAAAAAAAATAGCTAGTTAAAGCTAGACTTTAATTCCTTTTTGCCGCCAAAAAGCCCGCGCTTTTCATTGCTGGTGGACTATAACATATAGCCTAGTAGTGGCTCAACCAATCAGAACACAGCATTGATAATAGGCCACTAGTTGGATTTTACTAAAATCAAATACTAGGTTAAAGGAATAAAACGTATCCTATTATTGTGATTGATTTAAATGGAGAAGGTCCGTCCTTTTTATAGTCAGTTCATGACCGTTCGGCATTAGCCTTCCTCTCAACCACCTTTTTTTTGCGTTGCTGGCGTCCCTATAAAAAGAGAATCCGTTTAAAGCGTTCAGAACAGTGTCAGAACCCATTCAATGGTTTACGTACGTGGAGTGGAATTGGCTGGGAAAACGGAAACTTTCGAGTTGGAATTTCCATACAGTTCTAGTTTCGCTTACGTTGGTTCTTTTTTTTATGTCAGACTATTTAGAAGAATCTTACGCTTTTTCTTAGGTACTTTTTCAGGACATTAGTTTCTCGCAGGAGCTCATAACCCGGAGGTGAATTCTTGCGATGAAATAAAATAAAGATTCAAGTTTATTGACAGATGCGCAATTTTGGCCAAAATATTAATTTAAAACTTAGCCACCTACAGAGCTAATAAACGGTTTCATTATCAGATACTTTGGCCGATTTTTTCATAGGTCTATAAACAGTGAGATAAACAGTGTTTCACGTCTTTATTTACCATTCAGTAGATCTGAACCACTATCAGACTCAGACTCAGACTCAGTCACTAAAATTGTCATTTACAGATTTTGACTCTGGTCACAAGGAACTGTTCGTTTTCTATCACTGAAAGCTACTGAAAGGCTCACTATTATGATACAGGCCTTGTCGAGTCTTAGTCGGTAGCCTGCGTAGCGAGCGTTTCCGTTTGGTTTCGGGGCAAAAAAAGACTGTGGAAGATTTTAGGTTTTGACCGCGCGAGCAAAAGAAATGAGAACCAAAAAATGAAAGAGCGGGGAGGGGGAGGGGAAGAAAGGATTCCTTCTTCTTTCTTCCCCACGCGCTCCCCGCTCTTTTGCTTGCGCCATTCTTTGCGCGGTCTTTGACTCTTGTTCCTCGTTCTTTGCTCCTAAACCGCACAGAAACGCTTGCTACGCATGCTACTTATTGGGGAGCCCCGGGGGCTGGGTGGGGAGGTACTCCCGATAATGGCAAGCTTAAATCATGCACATGAATATAATCTGTCTGATTCTGGTTTGGAATTTTTGTTGGGTAAGCAACACGCGTTGGTTAGAAAAAATACTTAAAAGGAAGGACTGAGAGCCGTATTTAACGACAAACATACCGAAGCTTTACCACGGAAAATCTTCCCACAATAAAAACAAAGATACAACAACAACAACAAAATAACAAGATATACGTATCTTGATGTATAAAGTGAAAAACTGACTTTGCCCAATTGGTTTGCGATTTCTCTACAACCCAGCAACCACCTCCTTATAACCTGCGACGGTCAGACTTTGTTCTACCTCGCTTCGTTACGGTAACTGCCGTCTTTGTGATTTTTAATCATTTTACATCTATATCTACATCTTATTTTATTGCAATAGTTTTAAATTATATACAGCTTTCTTGTACACAGTTTTCAATGCAACTTACATTTTATTTCTTACTTCATCAATTTTATTTTGTGTTCCCTACTGATTACATTAATGAGTAGAAGGATTTTTTTGTCCGTCTAGACTGTATTTCTTTCACACACAAATTAATTTAAGTTGTCATTCATATGGCTACTTTTCCTGAACGAGTTATTGCTGAAGATGTTTCATTTAAAAATTACACCATAAATAGCTTCATGCAAATGGCGTAGTGCTGATGAAGAGGTTTAATTTGGAAAGTCATATATGTAGGTTTTCGTCAAAAGATTCAAAATTTGAAACCGCGCGAAACATAACTATGGTGAACGTACTACTTCAGAGGTTCGATTCTAATAGTCACATCATCTAATTTTGTCCAGAGACCAATAGTTAGAACTACATGCGAAATAGCTAGTTTCATGTGAACACGCCACTGAAGAGGTTTTAATTCAAATGGTCAAACTATTGGATTTCATTGACTAGTTACTGAACTAAGATTTCGAACTAAATCAGTAAAACATAATCAAATGCAGTCATGTAAACTTGCTACAGATAAGGTTTCATTTGAATAGCCGATCACATCACAGCATTTTACAAGTAGGGACTATTTTTAAAATGTCTCTATTATTGAATCTGGAAGTAAAGATTAACTTTAGCTCAAGTCTCAGACGATTGTAGTTTTCTTCTTTGAATTTCCGGCCTTTTCTGTAGAGTGAGCAATAGGCGTCAGTTCCAAGGCCACAGCCTGCTCATTACCATGGAATTCGTCTAGTTCTATGTCGCCCTCACTCCCCGACGAGCCACCATAAATCTCTGGTTTCAGCATCTGTTTTCTCTCCTCTGATTCCGGATCGAACTGATCTTCCATGTCATCTGGTAATGGAGGCAAGGGATTGTTTGCAATATTTTCACTTGATCGCCTATAAGAAGAAAACAATGCTGTCAACCATAGTAGATTCCTATAACGGAAATTGACCATACATTTAGATCATGCGCACGATTATAGAAAGGCAACGTGAATTACACTAAAACATTTTACGACGAGCCGATAATTGTGTTAGACAAGATCAAAATGTTCTATTTGATTATCATTATTTCAAATCTTGATGCCAAACGCAATGGACTCGAAAGATGATTTGTACTCAGATTTTCTCACTCTGAGATTTATACGCTATTAGGCCTTAAATGTCAAAAATAAAAGGCGTTCACGTTGATTAAAGCGTCTTCCCCTAAATATTTGCCTGCCAAACTAAAAAAAGAGTCTCCTTGAATAACAATCACCTCCAGCACACTGTCTTAAATATATTAAGTGATGTTATAAGGAAACCTCCTCTCTTCTCTCATTCTCTGAACGCTTGTTTACCTTTGATTAAACGCCGGCATTGACATAAGGAAATAGTTTCTTATTAGCCACTCGGTCGGCTCAATTTTAAATTTCCCGTGCACAGCAAGACGTTTATCTGTTTCCACGAGTTAAGCAATGTTATTTCTTACGTAACAATGTAACTGGGTCTCTTTCGTTCTTTGTCATAACCATGCACATGTCTCATAACGATAATACTGTCTCCTCAGTACTCCTCTGAAGAACCTATTTCTTCCCCGAATAAGCGCTCCCTCAGTGGCAAAGCTAGTTTATAAGCAGAACTGGCCCTTAACCAATCAGTTATTGAATTAACATAACATAACGTATTCATTGTCGAACTAATATTGGGAAGTTCTTTAGCCTGGGACTTGTTGGCTCCTTTATGGGTACGGAGTACCGGGTATGGACAACCGAACTCGCTTTTGGCGGAACTTTTCAAGAATAAAAGCCAAATGCTTAATCGAAAGAGTACTAACCTGTTATAAACATCTGCTCTCGTAACAGGAACAGTGGAGTCTGAATCATGTGGATCAAGGTAGTAATCTTTTCTGCCAGGGTCGTTGTCTTCTATTAAGTGTAGGTACTCGGTCGCGACACTCTGTTGTGAAAAATAAGCCCAATATCGAAGTTTAGAATAAACATACCAGCCAGGACCCCATAAGCCGGAGCGCGCAACGTCCATACTAGGCCTATGTCACGGCGTTTTTACGGATTAGCTTATTTTTAGACACATTTTAAGGGGCACTTCTTCCCGCGAAAATAAAATCTCCACCATATCTATGAGAGGATTCGAAGTATAAGATTCAAAACGGAAAACTAAACGTTATTAAAAGGCAGAAAATACCATTTTTAGGTCTGTAGGTTTTGCTGACTAGTTTGTGAAATTTGAAAGACATTTAAAATTCGCGCCAAAACCGTTCTAAAAATAAACTGGTCCGTGAAAACGTCGTGACACCAGCGCATGGAAGTTGCTCACTCCGGGTTATGGGCTCCTGAACAGCAAAAAAATGCGCATCCCTCATAATCTTTCTTTCAATTGGCAGTCAAAATTCTCTGACTTTATAGAATCGTAAATTTTTATAATCTGTATAGCTTTAGCATCTCTGCATTGCGTCAGTCTCAAAAAAAAAAAAAAAACAGCATAAAGATCGTGTTATATCACTCCATGGCCGATCTACGGGAGGGGGCACTGGGCCCCGGGGGCCCTGGGCTCCACCTTCTTTATCAGCCAAACTGCAGACTATCGAATTAAATGAGCGGGTCCCCCACTTAGTTAGAGATTTGAATCTGCCACTGTCATTGCAAATATGGTAAATTTTTAAAGAGCACACAGTATAAGTCATCTCTTCATATTCTTCTTGCAAAGCTTAATTCCCGCTCGCCCCATCAGAACAAAGGCTGTATACACTCAAGAGAGTATCCCCTCTTGATAAATTTCCCTTTTTTCCTTTGAAGGACCTAGTGTACAATAAGTTATTACAAGAGAGAGGATACTTTCTCTTAGTTCCTCCTTTGCCTCAAAAATAGTAGAAAAAAGGCCTCACCTGGGAAGCGCGTTGCTCAAGTATTGTACCAATCGACTGGCTGATTTGATCAAATTTAGGTCGCTTGTCGGGTCCTTCCTGCCAGCAATCTTGCATAATTTTGTAGATCTCCGAAGGGCAGTCTCGGGGATTTTCCATACGGTTTCCATCATTAAGAAAGTCTAGGAGCTCTCTTACGGGTATAGTGGGATACGGTGTGCCGCCCAGTGTAAAGATCTCCCACAAGCAAATACCAAACGACCATCTGCATTATTAAATGTCTAGGTTAAAAACATACACACTCGAAGGGTCATCACAGCCAGGGTCATTCCAAACCAAAAGGGCGTCAATAAAGCTCTGTAAGCTGCTTAAGCTAAAATATGGACTCGAGGAAACAGATGGTAAACTGCTATTAACTCCACTACAATGGAATTATTGGAATCAAAACTTACATGGCTTGCATATGAAGCGCTACATTCAAGAATCGTTATCAGTAGTATTCTTTTTCTTTCGAGTACTATTTATAAAAAATGGAAAACGTTATCTGCTGTGTTTACATGTCCTGATATAAACACGAGATTCGGGTGTTGGCTGGCAGAATTTAAGAGAATTCGTACAAATTGCAAACCACAGAAAAACAGTTTTCTGTTAAGGTGCTTTTATAGCGGCAACTTTCCCGAGAAAAAGTTGCTACCTAGCTCTTTGTTTATGGCGCTGATGAAACGAGCACTTCTTACTAGTCACGAAGTGTTGTATCTACACGACGTTTTGTGCGTGTAATCAGTACGTTTTTGTTTTGAATTTATAATGAAGTTCAGATATAACGCGCGTTCTGATTTGTTGAAAAACCGTGCTTTATGAGAGTATGAAACATGCTGACGACACTCTTTTGCTTTAAAAAAATAATAACAAAGATTGTTTTGAAAATTACAAAGGAATGCGTGGGGAATGTAACGGATTCTTTATATTCATAAAACAAATAAAGCAGTCTTGACTGAGCTCTATTTTGTTGAACTACTCAAGAAGTAGACAGAAACACTCGACTACATCTCGTGTTTCCCCCTACACTCCTTTCGTGTTCTAGCCGCTGCCAGTCCTGTGTGCTTTACAACAGAAAAGAGCACAGTCAAGGCTTCTTTGTTTGTTAAAAAAGGTGATATTTTAAAGGACGGACTGTTCTCGTTTAAAATGTAGTCTTGAGCGTAAAAACTTTGATATAGCACGTTTGTAAAGATTTTTCAAGTTCCATGCCTCTAAGTTATTGTTTAATAAAGTAAACTTGTTGAGTTTTTCAAAACATGGCTGCGTGGTTGCGTTTATCTGTGTCACCCGCATGCAAACACACTTCTCGGCCAATCGGAGAGCCCCTACTAAACTATGTTATGGCAAGTTTAACTTAATTACAGTAATCAAAAGGCCAGCTTCTTTTTTTTAATTTGAACGCTTAATTACGCACTAATTGTGTAGTTGTCATCCTTGAGTACGATCCCCGCATATTTTCATATTCTCCCTTCATACATTTTTTTTATGTTCTTTGTACTTACACATCACTTTTCTCTGAGTACTCCCTCAAAAACAATGATTCTATCGCCATCCACTTCATTGGCAAAACACCACTATTCGTCTGCACATATAATTCACTCTTGTAAATATCTCGAGCGAGGCCAAAGTCAGCGATCTTCATGACGTAGTCGTCTCCAACAAGAATGTTTCTGGTCGCCAAGTCTCGGTGAACACACTATATAAAACAGATATGTTTTGAAAAAAGAAATGCAAAATCAAGAAATCAGAAACAAGAAGGAAATAATAATAATAATGATAATAATAATTTTCGACAGTCGATAATGGCGTGAGCTTGTAAATTAGTGTTTTATAATCTTTTAATACTTTAATTTCATCAAAATTTTAGTCTATGATAGTGGAATGTAAATTGGTCATATATTAATAAAGACTTTTGCTATTTTAAAAATCATAATGGCGGTTTTTGAAAACAAAAGATTCTCATAAATTTGAGGGCTAATTCCTGAGGGGTCAGATAAGTTCAAACGCTTTTAAAGTTTTCAACAGTTTCATAGTTGAACACTGAATTTTATTGGTCCGTAAAAGACGATTTGATTGGATAATAATCTTTCAAGTGGCCCGGTTCAAGTACTCACACTGTAAAACGCGAAAAACAAACAAATAGGAACAGATTTAGAGTCGAATGAACGATATAAATTATGAAAAAACTCCTTGAAGCCAAAAGGAGAAAATAAGCAAGTGCTATAGAATAGACCTTTTTAGCTTATATTTATATATATATGTATATTTTGTTTTCCCATTTCAGATCACGTGATGGTACCCTAAAGAACCGTTCCTTTCAAATGTTGCCTTTTGCACCTACATCCACGAGGATATGGATGCATATTTTATGTAAAGACAAAACGCAAATTCCCCTGAGAAAATCACGTGGTGTGAAATAGGAAAACAAAACATACAAGCTTGTTAGAACTGAATTCTCTTCAGAAATGTGGGAATCCTTAAATGGGGGAGCATTACCTTTTTAGACGCCAGGTATTCCATTCCACGGGATATTTGGTAGGCGTAGCCCACAAGATTTGATATATTCAATCGTATCTCTGGGTCACTCGAAGTCGTAGACCAGGTCGCTTCATAAACATCTCGCTTGCCTAGCAAGAACTCTTGTAAACTCCCATGTGGTGCATATTCAAGAATGACAAGGATACGATCGCGCTTGATACAAGCACCAAGGAGGTTTACAATGTTTTTATGTTCTCCAACGTAAATTAGAATTTTCAGCTCTGATGCTAGGTCTCTTATTTCCTCTTCAGTAGCTCCCCCTGAATTGCCAAAATATCGTACTCGGTCAGTAAAAAAAAGTGCAGTTTCCACAGGGTGTAGTGGAGTCCACGTGACCATGTCACAAGCAAGGTTCAGTTTAACTAGGCACAATCCTCAGCAATAGGAATGAGCACGAACGGTACTCATGCATGAGAGAGGCCCCTTGCGAATTGCCCATCTCTTCCATGCTGAATCCAAGGGCATGGCTGGAGTTTTTTCCACTGGTAGTCACAGATCTAGATTCCCAAATCAACCCTACCCCGTCTCCCAAATCATTACCGCGCAGGTAACCTGGTAACTCGTCCCCTCCCCTGCATATTATCAGCTGCTACTCTAAACCAAATTCCGTTTTTGTCTCCCTCCACCAACCCCCGACAAGTACCAGCTATCCTTGCTTCATGGTAAATGTTACACAAGTTGAAATAGAGATATCTTGACTTGAAACATTACCTTTAACAGTCTTTACAGCTACGGTTGTCTTCGTGTACGCACTGCCTCTGGGATCGTGGTACGCATGGCCGGCCCTGCGTTTACGAAACATTTTAGGCCACCGCTGACTTTTCTTTTGACTTTTGTCTCTGGGACTAAAGTTGTTTATTCCTATAGCCTCTGCTTTAATAACTTTTCCGAAGGCCCCTGATCCTAGCACCTCCCCAAGAATGAGCTTGTCCTCAGGAAACTCGAAATCGGGGTCATAAGGCAGATCATTACATTGTTCAAGCAGTGTACGATTAGGGTCAATCTAACAAAATCAAGAAATATTTTATTACTTAACGTATACAATGGGGACGTATTTAGTCTAAGCAATGGTTCATTCCCTCCAACTGGAAACGGTTTGGTTCATGAGTATTACCTGAATTTAGACGGCCATTTTAAGGCAATGGATCACTTTTTGAATCGAGTCAAAGAATAAAAAAAAGTTTAGGTTTGAAAAGTAGACTTAAATTCATGGCCACTCCGCAAAGAAACTCGGCACCTCGTTCACGGTAGGTCGAAAAAAAAATCGCGACTATTTTTGCAGAACAGATCAGTCCGTAGCCTGCAATGAAAGGAACAAAATGTCAGCCATCTTTACTATCCGTGAGTATACATGTATTTTAAAACGGGGAGCAATCTATGGTTGCAATTTTGCAAATTATGACTGTCGACTGGCCTCGAACAAGCAACTCAGATGCTGATAAATGTATAATAATTCTCAAAAGTGTCCAACACCATGAGAGTTTACACGAATGTGAAGTGGCCATAAGTAAAGCAACCCTGCACTTTCGCGAAAGGTCACTAAAGAGTTTAAGCAAAAGAGAGTCGACGACGGTAACGAGAGGGTAAAACAGTAGCGGGATTAACAACCAAAAACGACAACTTTGCACGGGCCATCAAACGTAATTGTACGACTACGACGTGGAAAATTAGTCCCAATGCGCGTTTTACGAAGGACGTTAACGGCGCTGACGATAAATTTTTTATTCCCTTTTTTAATTATAACTTGGCTTTCCATAGAAATTCAACTACTCCACGTAAAGTCACCTACGTTTCACATATCAATGGAGATGATGTTAATCGAGATGAAGTTTGAAAGATCGCAAATTCATTTTACTTTCGCTGTCATGTTTGAAAAAAGGTTGAGAGACGTTTGCTTATAAAACCCCTTTTCTAATTTGATTGCTCCTCTGAGACAAAATAAAAGAAATCTTCCTCCTCCGTTTTTCCGCGTTCAAAGTTGTCATTGCAAGTGTTGAGTATGATCTTGGAATGGGAGGGTTGTGAAATTTACCCAGTCAACAAACATCATTTTCAGCCAAAATAAGTTGCATTATTCAAGCAGGCACTGGTTGTTATGTAGTAACTTCATTTTAAGCTCGTTTTACATGGTATTTTACCTGGTGTTTTCCAGTGTATACTGGAAAAAACTGATTACGATACTCCACAATCTGCTTCCGCTGATGGCGTATAAAGCAAAAGAAGGCGAACCCAAGGACGATACAGAGGAACAGGATTGCTCCAACAACAGAAAGAGCAACAGTGGCTTCCTTACTAAGAACTTCTATTGGAGATAGATTTGGGTTGGAGCTGGGTGACACTAGAAAATATTCAAAGACAATATCGCTTATTGCTTCAGTTAAATCACAATAATTCATTAAGCCCTTTGCAGCTAGCCGTTCACGCGGTACACATCCGTCATGCTGGACAACAAGGGACGCACTGGGACAAGGCAAAGAAGGAGCTAACATCTCTAAGAAAATTTGGTAATCTATCCATCAGAAAAAAAATAGGTTATGACCTAAGCGGACGACCGAACGCCGTCCGTACAGACTTTGGGAAGGGGAAAGGGAGTCAGGAGTCAGCCCCGGTCGGTGGGACGAGTATGTTATAGCGCAGCCCCATGACTAAGAAAATTTGGTTGTATCCATTCGAGAAATGTTGGTAGTAAGTGTTATTCGGCCTTGAAATGAGGAATTTACTGAGGCAACTTGTATGAAACGAAGCCATGCGTTCTCTACTTTAATCACAGAAGGACTCATGGGAAGACTCCAAACACTACGTCATGTAACATCTCCCCTTTTACAGTAATAAACGATCTTACTTAAATCAGCGGCTTGAATTTAGAAATTATCTGGCCTTTAGAACATGCACTTAAATGTCTTCTACTAAATGTTGACCAGATCCTTGAAGTAAAAACTAAAACTCAACAAACGACTAAAGTTAATGTCAAAGTTCAGTTGATAAATCGTCTATTCAACGTAGTCTGCGAATCTCAATGGGCAAACGCTGAATCTGCCACTTCTTATGACGAGAGTCTGAGGTTGCTGCAATTTCCTTTCTTCTTCGCTGTAGGTTCAGGGTTGACATCTGCTGGCTTTGGTAAAGGTGAGCTCTAATGGGTAGAGCTGGTATCGGTGATGATGGGCTGCTGATGTCCTTGACTAGGATCTTGGCGGGTGAACTTTTGATTACGTCTGTACAGGTTTCCGTTATCTGTTTCGATCAGGTACGAACATAGGCCGACGTTTGCCACACACGAGCCTTTTTCCCATGGAGCTTTGGGGTTTACCGGCTGAAGACGTTCTGTTTCTCCAATTTGAAGCTCTGGCAATGGTCTTGCGCTCTTGTCGTAAGTAGCTTTGGTCTGCTGCCTCTTACATTTTATGTTGTCATGTACACCTTCGACAACTTCAGGTTTGAGTAACGCTTCAGCGGGTGGAATGGTGGTCCGAGTTCTTCTTGACATAAGCTTTTGAGTCGGACTTAAATTGTCAATGTCGGGTGTGTTTCGCTATTCTGCAGGGCCATTTGAAGATCTTAGTTTTCTCGCTTAGCCTTCTTAACTAGATTTTTGGCGATCTTAGCGGCTGATTCTGCTTTGCTGTTGCTTTGGCTGTGTAGTGGCGAACTGGTAGTGTGATGAAATTCCCAATCTCGTGTGGAAGCGGCGAACTGATCGCTTGATAATCATGTCTGTAATACCATGCCGGGCAAAGTGTGACTTTGTTGCCTTGACCACAGACTCTGTAGTTGCAACTTGCATCAAATTTAGTTCAAAGTAATCACTGCAATCACTGTAGTAATTCCATACGTGAAGAGATTCTGACCAGCTTTTGACCATGGAGTATCTGGAATCTTATGCGTCGTTAACGGTTCTTTCTGTTGTCTGGCTAGAAAGTAATTGCAAACTTCACGGTTCTGAACTTGCTTCTTGGTTTGGCTTTCTATACTTAGCCAAAATAACACATCACGTACTCGACGTACACAAACATCAGGTCCTAAGTGACTAGAATGGACTCTGGTAATATCATTAGAGGTCTCATTGAAATCGGAACAAAGACCTTCATTCCTTTGTACAATACTCCGTCTTCGACTGTTAACTCTTCTTTGTAGTTCCAATATTCTCGAATGCCAGTTGAAACATCTTCTTTTGAGACCGGCCATCCTGTCATAAAAGTGTTAATTAGAGTCTGCAGAGTGGGGTCCGCAAGAGTGCATTGCTTAATCTGCTGATGGCTACCCTCAGATACGCGCATGTTTTAAACTTGATTGATGCTAGCAATTTCTTAAAACAGCTGCTTTTCTTGCTTGAGTTGGAAGATTTGGTACTCCGGTTTTCTCTTACACGGTCATCTTGGATATAAACTCTGCCGAGCATGTCTGCTATGGACATTTAAGAACCAGAAAGATACTTCACATTCAGATTGTACCTTTGCAGATGCAGGAGCATTCTCTATAGCCTTTAGGCGCTGAATGAATAGACTTCTGAAAAATGGCCACCAATGGCTTATGGTCTGTTTCCACCGTTGCAAGTTCTCTTCCATGTAGGCACTGATTGAAACGACTGCAAGCGAATACAATCGCCAAGCATTCCTTTTCTATTTGAGCATACTGGCGTTCGACAGAGCTCAACGACCGTGATGCAAATGTAACCGGATGTCCATCTTGGAGCAGAGTTGCTCCCAAACCGGATTCTGAGGTGTCATATTGGATAGCGGTTTCACTGGCCATATCATAATACTTCAACAGGAACGCAGAGCTGATCATGCTTTTGATTGCTTGGAAAGCTTCTTCCTGTGAGCTGTCCCAAGTGAACATGACATCCTTCTCAGTTAACTTGCGTAGTGGCTTGTGTACGCGCTTAAGCAAGTTCTCTAAATTGCAATCGTGATCTGCCAAAGCTTATTCCAAAGATTCTCCTCTGCCATAACATAAGATGTCATCTGCAATTACTTCTACTCAATCGAGGCCTGTTATCGCTTCATTCTTGCGGCGCTGAAATTCTTCTGGGGCGCTGCTGATTCCTTGTGCCATACGAAGGTAGCGATATCTCCCAAAGGGGGCCCAGAACGTTGTAAGGAGGGAACTTTCATTCATTGTCAAGCTTAACTTGATGGAACCCGTCTTTGGCATCTAATACTGTAAATACTGTTGCTTTTGACAACTTTGGTAGGACCTCGTCCACTGTTGGCATCTGATACTTTGGCCTCTTTACAGCCTGAATTTCATCCGATTACTTCGAGTCTTTATTACTCCCTCAAAAACGTCTGAATCGACCGGCCGTTAATGCCGCCCAGTGACGTCACTACTCCATGACCTTTGCTTTAATTCATAGAAAAAGTAAAACATGATTTTCAAGTGGCAAACCAAGAAATATCGTTTGGAAATGTCTGCATGATACAGAACTGCTTTATTTTTTTCGATCGTAATTCATGTTTAACGTTCAAACTATCAACTGCATACAGTACAACTCTGAAGCAGTTGTACTAAATTCTATAATCAAACTCGGTCGCAATCACGCAATGAAATAAACACACACACGGAACACTTAGTTCAAAAACACAGTGATTTGCTTTAATTGAAAAGAAGCTATTTGGTCCTTAACGAAGAAAAGAAACAGAGAGACAAGAAAGAAAAGCTAACAGAATCATTACACTTGACGGAAAAAATAGCAAGAAGGTCGAATTATAACATTGATCTCAGAAAGCTTCGCGTAAACAAAATCACCGGCCGCCGAAACCACAAAGCGGCTCTAAATGAAAAACCTTCCAACTCTCCGCAATGATTCTTCATTCGCAGTTCAATTTAGCATTTCAGTTTCGAAGACAAGGGCAATTTTGCCGTTTAAGATAAAGATTAAGGTTGTCGAAATGTTTGAACTAAACGAAAGAATGCCAGAAATGCGATCCGCTGAATATCAAGCGACAATCCCGCTAAAACTTTTCATAATTATACATAATTATGCGAATGTTTAGACAATCAACCAATCAAAATAACTACCCGGTTTTCGGGTAGTGAGTGACGTCACTGGACGGCATTAACGGCCGGTCGATTCAGACGTTGTTGAGAGGAAAAAACGACTCGAAGCAATCGAATGAATTTCAGGCTAGCCTCTTTATGGCTCTATTCAAATCACGCCGATCAACGCACACCCTAAGTTTTCCTGGCTTCTGCACGGCTACAAGACTACTGATCCATTCTTTTGGCTGAGTTTCCTTGACAATGATTCTTTGCTTTTCCATTTCATCAATCTTTTCTTTAACTTTCATTTGAGTAATACTATGGTACACGTCAAGGAGCATTCTGCACTGGCTTGATGGCTGGATCTACTACAATGTGATATTCTCCCAGTAGGCAACCAAGTCCTGTGAACGCATCTTCATATTCCTTCAAACGTTCCTCCAGGGTGAGCGGTTCATAATGCTTGCCATCGGCGACGTTAAGCAAACCTGGACGGCGGCTAAGAAAAAGTCAACCGGAAGTCACGACAGCCTTTCTCAACATAATTTGCATAATCATTTTGCCGTCCACCTGACGTCGCGGCAATGAGTTCCAGAATTTTGGCGCTGTCTCAAGAAAGTAAGTTTGTTTGTTAATTTTATGCTTTTAAAACACATAGTTTCGAAAGCAAATCTTTGCCGTTACCAAAAGTATTGACTTCAGATCACATAGACAATTCTCGTTCTGTTGTTCTTCCTTCAAGAATGAGAATAAATTAACTACGTTTTCTGAAGCTGGAAGAGCGAAGTTCCCTTCATGGCCAAAAATGAGTAAGCTTATCAAAGTCAATTTTTTCATTTTAATAATCTCTCTTTTTTTGCAATTATCGGACTTTCAAAACAAGTCTGAATCTAATGTGTAGAAACTAAAGCGATCTGTACTTGAAAGTTGTAATTTATTCAAAACATTTGGCCTCTCGCTTAGATAAAAGTTTGTTGTCATACAGGTCAAACATCATGGAGTGGTCTGAGAAACACGATGGAATTTTATGCCGGGAGATCTTGTTGAGCCAGCAGTTCAACCACAAACCTCGAACAGTTGAGAGAGGAAAAGTTTGGGAAGAAATAGCTGAAAGACTCAACAGCATCAACGACCCAAAATTTAAAGTTTCAAAGCGATCGGTACGTAAGCATTTCCAGCTTCTGCTTTTAAAATTCAAAACAAAAAGGAGATATGAGAAGCGCGCATCTGGAATAAAAGTGGTGAAAAACAACGAGGTCGATAAGGCAATGGAGGAGATTTATGAGAAATGGGAGGCTGCAGAGGAGGAGTAGGTGACTGGATCTGAGAACAAGAAGGCAAAGGTTGAGATAGATAAAGCTAGTGAGGAAGAAGTAAGACTTAAGGAGGCTGAAAAAATTGAGCAAAACGAACAAGAGAAACAATACCCAAGAAGGCCTTGTCAAACCCAAAAAAGCACGACAAAGCGGCTGGGAAACTGTACTATTCCTCCGTGGAAAATCTGAAAGAGATTATCAAATTCGCCAAGAACAGCTACGCATGAGACAGAAAGAACATGAAAATCATCAGAACATGCAACAGGAACAGCTGGAAATGATGCGAATCATGCAGCAACAAAATAACACAATGATGGCTCCTCTGTCTATATTGGTAAACAAAAATAGACAGTGTGTATTTTCATGAACTGAGGATTTCTAATGCCCTCTTTAAGGTATCAGCCACCCTTCAGGACCGTCCGCGCGCGGATCGCTGTAGCGTTAGTTGTTTTTATAAAAACCCCTATAAACCATATATTTTTTAAAAGCTTAATAATTCCAGATTATGGATTTGAACTAACAAAAACGATTTACTTAAATGTGTTTCGAAATTGGAACGCTTTGTGTAAAAGTACACGTCTCTGTAAATCATGTTCCACTCCCGCCGGAAATAAACGGAAGAAAACTATTAACACCGCATTCGCTTCTCAACACGTTCCATTAAAAAACCGTGTCTCAGATTTTTGACAAGTGCGTTTGTTTTTCTTTTATTAGCAACTGAAGTTGGGGAAGGCAATTAGTCAACACTCCCTGTGGAAAAAAAGCTCTAGCTTTAAAATGAAAAGGAGTATTAAAATTCGCAGACACACTTTTGTAGAAGAGATATATGGCATTACTCTGGCCAAATTTTAGCCAAATTGATTGAAAGGCTGCCGACTTGGAGTTTAAAACGTACGAGTCGATAGGCAAAATTTGCGTTCGGAGATAAAATAGAAAATACATTTTTGGGGGCATCCTACCTGGAATGAGATTATAACACCTAAATGTTTATTCTGATTGATATCAGAGAGGGATCAATTTTCTCTAACAATAGGACTTTGACAGGTAACATGTAACAGGAACAAACTTTTTATTGTTATCAACATCTTCAAGTGAACAGTTTAATTCTCCGTTGGAAAACTTCCACTCTTTTACACCACGAGAAGCACGGTTTAATTCTTTCTCGAGCAAAAGTTTTGCCTCTCCTTCGATCTTTTTTGTATGATTCACCGAGGCGTTTTTGTTGACGGCGCCAGGCCAGGAAACTAAAAAACTTTGAAGCCGCCGAATGTCCACCACCGATTGCTCGAAGGCCAAGAACTGAGGCCTGGTATATTTCAAACGCTCTGCTCTTCTCGGAAGAATTAAAAACAGAATTTGTCTTGTGCGACGGACAGCTTTCATTCTCGCACTGGATTCTTCAGGTAGAACCAAGTCCATGCTTAGTCGCTACATTTTCCATGACTTGGACTCTTACCTGGCAAAATCAACAAGATACAGACTCGTCCAGTTTCTCAAGCAGCTTTTCGCTCAATACGATAGCTCGACCGCTTATTGTTTTCCACGTTCCATCAGCAGATGGGGTCGATGAGCTTAATTGGCTTTCTTCATCTGGCTCTTCAAGCTGGATTTTGGAGAGGCTTGCACTCTCAGCAACTGCAGCAACTTCTCTTGCTGATAAAATGAGCCTTTGTCGCTCTCTGCCAATTTTGCGGACCATTCTTTATCACACTCGCTCTTCGATTTCCTTTTCGCTCTCGGTTTCGATGACGAAAACGGACAGGAGCGTTTCTTTTTTTTTTGGCAGCATTTTCACCAAAGCAAACGCTAAATATCCACGGAGAATACTAAGGGCTATAAACAACGCGAAGACAATTCGCACGTGTTGTGTCGAAGCACGCACTCGGTATCACGTTACTAGTTCACAGGCAAGTTAATTGATATATGACACGGGTATGACAGATCTTGTCAACGATCAATTAAGATAGTTAACGAGCAAAAATCTTTTACCCCCGATATCTTTCGACAAAAATAATATTTTCTTCTGATTTTTTTTTTTAAGAAAGCTCTCAAGTATATCTATTTGAAAACGTTGAAATCTCAAATATGGAAAAATGGCAATTTTAAGGGTGGCTGATACCTTAATGTTGTTTTTGTCCCTTACAATTTAGTTGCCCTTTACTTAAATTTACATTAGGTCGTTTCGTCAAATAATCTTTGTATTTTCTTGACCTGAGATTTTTTCATGTCTTCTCCTATCTTGTAAACTTGTTTTTGATATTTACACTTGAGTTACGCTTTATTTAACTTTACATTCAGATGTATAGTTCTGGCCGTTCAGACACGAATTTTCAGAGATCTGCTTTTTTGACATTTTTAGAGTAAACATTCTGAAAACATTCAGGTAAAAGTACTGCTCCAGATCAAAAAACTCAGATGTAGCGTTGCTATAAACACACGTCAGTGCCTTTCTTAGTATGGCGCAAACAAGATACATTCCCCCCACACTACTGAGGCCATAATCTATTAACTTAAATACTTTGCTGTGTCTCCGAAAAGCAATTAAACCGCAATTCTAACGTGACTCATAGAGGTGTTGAATGCTTGCATCACTGGTGTCAAAACAGCATTTTTGTACGGCCCTTGAAGTTGCATCCCTAAAGGATATGCCAGATCACCAAGATGAACATGGGTCGCCCCAAGAGTGGTGTAGCGTACAACTGCAGCTGATGAAGTAATCCAGAATCTGCCAGCATGCCAGAGTCATATGCTTCCGGCCTTCTGAAAAACGACAGCATCGTACAATAAGAAAACAACAGAAAAAAACTGTCTCCGAAGAAAAAGTGAAAAAAAAACAACAACAACAACAACACGTGACAAACAAACGAACAACAAGCAGGAGAGTCGATAATTGTAAAATTGGACCACCTCAAGCTGCTTATTCCAATACAAATCAGGGGCGGAACCAGAAAATTAAGAAAGGGGTGGGGCACTTAGCAACCATAAAGGTCCTATTTATTTTACTAAGAATTCGTTAAAAATAATACAAAATTTCATACATTAAGGTGTGGCAGCGGTCCCCGCAGCCAGCCCCTAAATCTACCCCAAGCAGATTACTGAATATAAGTGCAAACATTCATCGGAATAGACAGGTAGGATTTCATTAACATACTCACCTACAGGTCCATACATATTAGCAATCAGACCATTTGGCAGGGCAAGAGACTGAAACTTCAGTGCATACACACGTTTGTGCCCGTCATAGACGATGCGTATATTTTCTCCTGGTCGGCTGATTGGCCTAACAGTGCCATCGATAAACCCAAAACAATTATCAAGGGCACCTCCCTTTATCTGGGTGGCATTTGCATATCCTTCTAGTTTTACTGGCTGTAAAATAGCGGGATTCCACTGGAAGATTCGGTGGCCGTGGTTGATATAAATAAAATTCAGCACTTCATTCGTTATCATGCTCAGAACCGGCGCGGGTCTTCCAAAGCTCGCCATCATGTACGAATATCGACAAGGGTATGCAAGTCTCCAAAGAAGCATGCACAGTCCTTCCATACTATCGATGATTGAACGTTGTCGGCACCTGAAGACCCCGGAAATCTGGAGTGCCTCGGCTAGAGCAAGTAGGCTATGTTTGTGAACTCTGAACTTAGCAACACACTCTGAATCCTCCATCTCATCCAAGTCAAATCTCTTGAATTCGTCATAGAGCAAGTCAAGATTTTTGGATCTGTTTAGGTCATAAGGAATTAGATATTCGTCTTCTGAAATCACGTTATCGAACAAAGTAGTTGTTAACAAGACGCTACGGAACGTACACTTCGGCGTCGTGGTTGTGCAACTGATTAATTGTAAATAGTAAGAAATGAAATATGGTAAGAGTAAGGTGTTCATTTGTAAAATTATAGGATTTGTCAGGATGTTCTGAAAAGAGCAACATCCAAAAGCCCTACTTGCCAAAAACTAGCATTTCGGAACAAATTGTCCCTGAGATATTAGCCCAGTTATGCTCTGATGACTCCATACAAATTCTTCTAAATTTGACTTGGGTCTAAACGTTTAGACCTACGACAATATGAGGTTACTGGCAATGAATAACAAGTCTAACAAAACAAACAGTGAAAAACGAATTCTCTATGTTTGTTAGTCACATCAGGCTTCAAAAATAGCATAGCAGTCTCATGTGCTGATTAAAGATATGTAAGGCATGGGTAAGGCGTCAATTACGTTAAGCATGGAATTGGCTAAAACTCAATGTTACGAGTTCGAATGTTTTGAGGATAATCATTCACTGACTTTCAGCTCGCAGGGATGTCGGATTAGCACAAGGAAGTTTAATACCAAAGGAACATAGCCTTCACAGAGCTTTAAAACACAGCATCCGCTAACACATACTTGACTTGAACTTGGGTAAAACTAAACAGCCTCTGCCGATTAAATGACAAACTCTCACTTGAACTTCAGATATCTTACGGCTTCCGCCAACTTGTAACTTGTAAACACAGAACTTGAAAATCGACCTTCGTCACACTTGACTAAACACAGCAGTCCAGCTCGTGGGAAAAAAACTTAGCTCGTCAAAAGAACTCGCTTGGAACTTGTATACCGTTTAACATAATTAAAAGGTTCTAGAAAATACTTAACAGGCGAATAGTAGTAGCTTTTCGACATATTTCATGATTTCAGTAACTGATGCAAATCTGCTGACTCATGTTGAAATGTAAACATGCCCTAATTAATTATTCATGAATAATCCAAAAACGTAAAGAACGTTCCAGAAAGCCACGCAACGCATGAAAGCAATTTTTCTACGTAACACTCAACAAAGACAAAATGTCTTTGTGCAGCATTTTGTAACTTTAAATTCATCATAAAACAGTTCGAAAGGAGGGCTCACTCGTGAAATGTTATTCAACACTCGAAGAGTAACTTCGTGTCTCTGCGCGGCCACGTAATATCTTCTATCTATTCCTCGAGTAAATTAAAGACATAACTCGAAGTGATCTCAAGATATCACAAAGTAGTCCGGTTTCATTTCACGAAATAGCCGAAACAAGCCGAAAAGTCACGAACTTGCACGTCCAATCTTGTCCCGAAACTAGCGCATCATTTCATAACTATTTTTCGTATCCCGAACTACCTTGGGTCGCAGTAGCGCAATCGGCTAATCCCTCACCTTAGAGTCTCCTCTGATCTGACGGGTCACATAGGTGAGTCGGTTCAAACCCCGGGAAAGCCAAAATAATAATTCTTTCTTCCTCGGAAAAGTTAAAGAATAAATCTAAGAATCGAAGTGATCTCGAGATATCTCGACCTAATTCGGCTCTCACTTCGTCAAACAGCCGAATAAAATCGAAAACCTACAGACTTTGCGTGCCCAATCTTGTCAAAAAAGTCAACTTTGATACATTTCTGAGCGTCGCGAATCCTTTACTTCGCTCCGCCGAAGTAACAAATCCCTGGCATCTCTGAAAGACGTCATGGCGAAGCAGAATCCAACCCACGATCAGACGTTCTTATTTTACCTGGTTTTCCTTTTTTTTAGGTAAAGTAAGTCTGAACGTCGCGACCTCTGCTTGCTTAAGCTTATATTTTCGCGCCAAAAAGACGCTGTTCTAGTTCCACTATTCCTGGGCCTGGTACGCTGTCCCCTTGGTCGCCGTCCAGGTTTGCTTAAGGTCAGTATTTAATGAGTGAACAGAAGCTTCCACTCCTAAGGATTTCCAACCTTGCTGAGTGCATGTTCTACCATCTATTATTGGCCACGGCGCATTCTCCAGGATGTCAAATTTTATCTTGCATTTAGGGCCACTGTTTCGGCTGACTAAAAATGTGTACGAACCAAGTGGATTCACAACACAACCATCATAAACCCTTATCTTGCCTGCAGGTGGATTCAACTGAACTTCGTCAAGTTGTCTCTAACAATGATTTTAAGTGATTTCGTTTTAGGTGACGAAAAATGGGTCGGTAATTGTTGAGGATCGCCTCGGGACTCCCAAATACTATTAAAATATCCTCTAGCTGTTCTTCCGAGCAATCGTCTCCTACGTACGATGCTCTAATGCCACGGGAATTTAGGTTTGAGACCTGATCTTTCATGAGAGAAATCAACGGAACAATCACCAACACGATGGCTTTGACTCGCCAAATAAACGATCGAAAGTGTATGCAGCCAACTCAAAAGTCAGACTCTTGCTAGCTCCGGTTGGAGCAGACACAAAAACATACCTCCCCGACAGTTATGTTTCGATTGTTTTCCTTTGATAGTCACGCAATTCAGAATAGCCCGTGGCCTCAAGGGCATCTTTCATCGCTTTCGCAATCGACCCCATGTTAGAATTTGAACCGCAAGTCACGTTTCGATGGACTTCGTTCTTGTGAGTGACAGCTGTATCCCGAAGGGTCCTTGGGAGCTACTCTGATTGGTCCAAGTGCACCGAGCCGTTTTTGGGTCGGTAAAACTGGTGCCAATCAAGTATGAAAAGTCCTTCGTTCCGCGCCATATGAAATCCGACGAAGGACTTTTTTAAAAGTCTACACATAAAACAAGTTGAGCTTATGAGCCAGCGGCCGGACTTCGGACGCGAAAAGTCAGCCTTTTTACAGGTAGGGAAGGCAGTAGCTATTAAGTTATCTCTTGCACCTTAATACCACCAACACACACACACGTTTGCTTTGCTTAACATGGTCACGCGTTGGTTACGCTCTACGTCCCATTCTTATCTCAGGTTTGCCAAAATTTGGCAGGTGAGTTCATGTGGAAAATCTATGCAGCATCTGGAAACTCGTTTAGTGATAGGTGAAGCTGACAGAGTTTTGTGTCATCTTTAACATTGTGTTTTAACCGCCTTTTTGCACTGGATCGACAACTTCTGCTATTAAGAATCTTTTGTTATTCATGTCTAGCGTGTTTATTTGATTTTTGGTTGAGAAATTCGCCGCTTTCAAAAATAAGCTACTCTTAGTAAGCTCACTACACCTCGCTGGATGCGTAAGAGGATTCAAAAGTCTTAAACGATTCTGGCCTTACATGATGGCTTTCAGAAGCTGCATCTTGACTGCATGGTAATTAAATTGCATTTGATGTTTGTTTGTTTGTTTGTTTTTTTCTGGTTTCATGAAGTCGAGCTTTGTGTATGCCGTCACTTTACGTACACACTTTTGTAAGATTTGATGCAATGATCTGACCTAGTACAGAACTTAAAGTCTCTAGACATTTTCTGACCGCGATTAGAAAGAAGAGGTTCTGAAGAATATTTAGTTATGTTATTGGTTGTGAAAAGAAAGCTTTGAGCGATATTCTTGCCTCGAGTTCATCTTGAAAAATAGCAAACACGGCAAAATTGACTTAAAACTTTAGCTTAAATCTGCAAGGTCACGTTAATCTCAATACGTGTCTTCGTGAATAAGACTTGTTGTCCATTTCGATAAATGTTTCATTGAATTATATTTCTTGTGTTGATTGTTTGTGAAGATCTCTTTCTTATTGCTTTTCCGGTTACTTTCAGTCGTACATGAACATTGCTTGTAGGAATACTCAAAATGCCGCGCGTATCAACTGGTTTTAAAGATTATGGTGTTTTAGTGGTAAAATGCAAACGAAAATGATTCTAAGACCTCTTCATACTAGGTGTGTTCTTAAACACCCTCAACCTAACCTGCGCGCAGACGAAATTAAACTCTGGTTAACTCCGTCTAATCAGAGTACTAATCAGAGTTTAGTTATCGTCTGCACACAGGCTACCTCAACCAGGGATCAACAGAAATCAAGGGCATTTTGCTCCCGCATTCATTGGTCAGCGGAGTATCTTATATTGCAGTCGGATAAAAACACTTTCGAGGAGAAAAAAAAAGAGAGCATTTAATGCGAGGCGGAGCTAGTTGACTTCTTGGAGGGTTTCTCCTCAAAGCGGCGATCATTTGCCATAGATTACGCTATATTTTGAAACAGACAAGAGGTAGTGGCGTGCCTCGAATATCGAACATCGCTAGAAGTAAGTAGACAAACGGCTTTTGAATAATTTTTATGTTAGAAGTACATACAGCTTAATCACTACTGAACATGTTTCGAGTCGGAGCTAGGTAATAATCTGAATCATATTTGTTGGATTTTGGATTTTTGTTCAAATCCCATACATTTCCTTACACGATTTCGCCGCCATTAACGACTCAATGCGCACGCGTGTCCGCCATTTTGACCCAAATTTCTGGCAATGCCCATCTGCTGTCAGTTTTTATAATGGAGACTGAAAAGGATGGGATGCTTCCCTTCCTTGGGAAAGAACTTCTCAATCAAGCGCCCCAAATTGAGACTAAGTTGTACGTGAAGCCTACCAATACTGGTCTACTTCTCCACTACAATAGTCATGTTGAACAGACAACCGTTACGTTAATTACAAACGAATTCGAAGCTTATTAACAACTATGTTTGGCAGTGAGTACCGTTTGTCCTCGACATAGTTTTATCATTCGAAGGAGTGTGGGTGCTTGAAGTCTCTGTTTTCACGTTTGAAGTACTCTCAACACGTTATCAACTCCACCAGTAACACTTTTGTTAGCTCGAGGGTTGCTGACCCACAGCCATCGCAGGCCTCGGCGGAAATGACGAATTGTGACGTGACTCTGGTAGTCTGATACCCTTTAAGGAGCAGAATTCGGCCAACCTTGTTAAGACTCAGTTGAAATACCTAAGTCTTAAGCTCCATACTGCAATCCAACTGGTATTTGTGACTACGAAAATTGGCCAGGACCTCCACAGATGTGAGACGAAACCACAAGTGGTTAATCAACAATGCGTAGCGTACCACTTTCAATGTAACCTACAGGTGTATGTGATACAGGTAGCTATGTTGGTTATACGCGTGGACATATTGGCCACAAAAATAAATCATCTGCCGTGCGCACACAAAAAGATAAAGCCCACGCGGGTGCTGTCCCTGAGGACCTTCTCAGTGCTTTAGGTGCTGAAAAAATGCAAGAACAAATTTGACTGCCTCGTTAATGAGATGTTTTACATCCAACAATTAAGACCGCCTTTGAACGTGCAAACGGATTCAATCCGTGCTAAGGTCTTTCTTTAGCTGTTTTCATTCATCAAATTTTATTTCTAACCCTTGGTAATGGCGTCATGATGTCGCCGAAATATCGGAACATGGTCTCGTTGCTTTTTAAATGTTTATGTAATTAGAATTTTATGTTGTCGTCATTTTTATAATTTGTTGTGCAAGGGAAGCGCCTGCTTCGATCATCCTGATTACTGAATGACTGCAATTTGTCTTGTAAAATTATTCTGTGAAAATCTGCAGAATTACAAGTAAAATAGGGCAAAAAATGACAATCTCTGTTCGAGGTCTGAACGATAAATAAGCAACCCCTGATAGTTCTGCTTATGTCAGAGGTGATGTAAAAAGGATGTTTTAGGCGCTACCAGACTTGTAAAGTAAACTCGTAGTGGGCCACACAAACAAAATCCGGCCTGATTTTTCCTTTTGGCCTTTCTTTTAAACAGAAAGATAAAATCGATGAGTTATAACGTGTCTTAACGTCCTTTATAGCATAAAATTATCTTTCGGGACTGTCCAATTACCCTTGTAAAATAGGCAGGGAATTGAACATCTAAGAAGTTCGTTTCATTCTATTTTCCTCATGTTTTCTATGAAAGTAGCAGGGGATCACGCTTATGAAAGGCGGAGTAAGTCCTGTTCTCCAGCCGTCAGAGACAACTATGAACTATGAATCAACATGTGAAGTAAATTTTACCTTTCATGATTTCAACAGAAACCATTGTATCCTTCAATTTATTACTGGCAATACAGGTGTAAAAACCAAAATCCTTGTCTTGTATCGAGTTAATGATCAATCGCTGGGAGTTTGTTGAAGTTGGTGAGACTGCAATTCCTGTGTTGTTATCTGACCATGTGACATTAGGAGCAGGGCTCCCTTTCGCCACACAGATTATGTTCAGTGGATCACCAATCTTGAGTGAAAGAGGTGTGTCGTGTTCCTTGGGTTCAACTATGACTGGTGCAACTGTCAAAAAGAAAAAGAATCATCAAACAACGACTGTTTTTTGAAACAGGCCGGCGAGCAAAAATGAGCCCAATGACATATTATTGGTGGGGCGGACAGCAACAATTTGTAATTAGTATACAGTTAAACTTCTCTTCCATGGCCAGCTTGGGGACAGAAGAAAGTGGCCATTGTAAGGAGGTGGATGTTGTAGAGAGGTTTAACCCCTTGACAGCCTTTGCCAGCCAAAACGGGCTGTACAAGACCACACTGCTTCAAAATATTATCAGAGCTGTCATTACGGGGCCGTAACCCGTAACACCTGTTACAGCTGCTCTAAAAATTAATGACAGCCCTGATTGCAACTTTCTCAATTGCGCCAACATTGCCTTAACTGTCAGTTGTGTACATCGAGTATAATGTCCTTCACATTGGGACATCCTTAAAATGTAAAGTCAGCGCTTTTTGCAAAATACCACCTTGGACATGAACCAAAATGACCGTTTTTAGCGTCATGGTAAAACGACAAAAATTACGTATTTTGCCTTCAGGGTTTTTACAGAAATCATCGTTGCAAAACCAAAAGTCAACTTTCACAGTAAAATTCAGCCCTTGTTCTAGCTTAGAAGCAACTTTGGTGTTCTTATTTGTTTCCTGGGCCAAGCTACACCCTTTTGTTCTAGTGCATCCTGGCCTCGCTTCGATTTTCAACATCTCGACTGCTTTGCATGCTGGGAAATAGCCAGAATTTTTGACAACGTTTGTTCCTTTCCCTCCCTCCCCCCACTTTTTTCATATTTGTACAGAAGTCTACAGCCACTCCGACGTACCAAGGAAATAGGCAAGTTTCGTATTCCCGGGCGGCCTAGGACGAGCGCTTGTTTTCGCGCGAAAGAGAGGCTTATGCGGGTCACTTCTGGCAAGAAGACAAACGAACATCTGAAACATGAGGAAATTGCGGCTGGGTTGCTGGAGAGCGAGGAAAATCTTAAAGGTTTAAGGTTTTGGTGGGCTCCAAACTTACTTGCCGGCTTGAGAAATCATTGTTTCGAACAGCAAAAGGACAATTAACTCCTCGTCACGGAGAAAAACGATGAGCGTAACCAGAAATCGGCCGAAAGAGAGAGTTGGTGAGCGAGTTCAATAAAAATGCGAAGAGGGTCTCAAAATTCTCAAAACATGGTAAAACCCTGAAGCCATTTTAATGTTAATTTTCAGTGGTCGTTATAACTTCTTTAAGGATACGTTTCACTGAAATGGGGGTAGTTGTCAAAAAAATGCAATAAAGTTAAAACACCTGCTTTTCAGTTGGCATTTTCTAACAGAGCTGGATGAACCGAACAAGTATTTTCGGTGGATGAATATCTATCACGGCGGGGCTGAATTTCTGCATGCATTCCTTACACTGTAAAATACGAATATGAGCGAAAAGAGAGATTGCAATGATTTCATACAGCATTTTGGAGGCCCGCTGACCGCTTGACAGCTCGCGTCATAAACGCCCATTTTCTAAAATTATTTTCAATGACGTCAATGTCAAATCTTTCACGGGACGCGATCAAACAGCGGCTATGTCATCTATGAGATGAAAGGTGCTGGTACCCTGTTTCCAAGATTTGAAGAAGGATATGGGAAAAAATATTCAGATCAGCCGTCCGATTTTGTCCTTTATGGAAGGTTCTCTTAGGACGATGAATCCACCAAAGACAGACCTGAAAGACATCGTAAACAGTAAATATTATCTCTCGTCGAAGGGCCGACGAAACGCCTTCTCTGAACTCTATTTTTGAACGACTTGAATTTTGAGAGTTCCAAAGTGACTCTCTTTTCGAAAATGTGTAACCAAAGAGAGAAAAGCGGGCCTTTCTATTTGAAACGTTCATACAGAAACCTAATCGGGAATAAATTTGGCGCAAAAAATATGCAAATCTCAACACTTTGGAGTTGAACACGACTTACGGATCTCTTAATGAGAACTTTGTACGTTTTTTATTTTTGCTTTTCAGAATATACCAAACGTCTCATTATTTTTAGGTTGTGAAGATAATGGCTAGCCGTTGTTTTGATTTCCCCGAGTAAAAAAGATATTTGGTAACAAACGTATTCGGTCCCCATCAAATCTCAACACTTTGGAGTTGACCAAGACATGCGGATCTCTTAATGAGAATTTTGTACAGTTTTGATTTTTGCTTTTTAGAATATATTCTTTTCAGGTTTTGAAGGTATAAAAGGCTAGCATTTGTTTTGATTTCCCCGAGTACAAAAATATTTGGTCTGTGACAGTAGAAGACATTTTCGGCGCCTTGCATGACGGGTCTGCAAGTGATGTTGATGAGCTGTTGATGACAGATGAGCGTCATCCTGACCGGCCAATGGTCCGTCACCAGAGTGCCAGGCGTCCAAAATGTTGTATGAAACCATTGCAGTCTCTCTTTTCGCTCGTATTCTGGCCTCACACTCCGGTGAATTAAGGAATGGGTCCTCGTTACATGCGGAGTTTTATGACTTGATCTTGTTTTTTCCAGTATCTTCCTTCATTTTAATCTTAGACCGCTGTGTTTAAGACCAAACCACTTTGGACCTTAAACACTTCTTTTTTTTTTAGATCACGTGACCAGCCACGCCCATAATTATGGAAAACTTGGACTTTGCAGATTACACCAGTTTACTGAAGGTGACAACAATCGTTTTTCCTTCCATAATATTTCATTTACAGTCAAATAAGCTAAATTAATCGGGCATTTGTGAAATGATCCATTCCTTCGTAATTATTAGATATTTTTCTCTCGTCCCAGTCTCCCTCTTAACAAGAAAGGTTATAGTTTACAAAAACGTAGATAATTTAAGAAAACCCCGATTAATTCCATAAACTTTGTGTCAATAGTCATTGACAAAAAGTGAATTAAATTAGAAGTGTTATTTATAAAGTGGTGTAAATTTGGATTGAAATAAAAAGCCAAAAATGGGTGTGGCAAGTCACGTGACACAGATAATACATTAGTAATCATGAAAAATGAATGATTATGGGGAGTAGATGTTAAATTGAAAATATTAATGCGAAAGGTAAAATCCCTACTAAAACAGACCACCCCCCTCCAAATTTGCAGTGCCCCATTCCTTAATTCACGGGAGCAACTCCCACCCTTGCGACTCGCCCGACTTGACTGCTCAAATACTGTCGCTTGCAGATTTTCGAGCAAGAGAGAGACTTCTCGCAGTCTAGATTTGTATCGTTTTCCAGCGACAAAGCTACAATTTGCCTGTGTTAGCTTATGTTTGTTTTTGCTTTCGCCGAGAAGTTGACCCGCATTAGCCTCGCAACCATGCTAAGAATGCCCTCGTCCCAGGGCCGTCGGGGAATAAGAATCTCGCCTATTTCGCACTTGTTGTGATTTTCAGTGGTCGCAAATTCCAAAATACTGCATTGTAGGTCAAAAAATTCATTAGTAGTTGAGTGCCAAAGGTACTTCGTTTTGGAGCGACCATTATTCCAGTTCCACAAGCAACACGCCAAATTCGCAAACGAAGTACATCACCTTACTCGCTTCTTTGAGAAAGTGGACTCTCAGCTATCGTCACGCTTAATGATTCTCAACAGGCAGCTACTAAAGATGAAAAATGGTCGTAAACTTACCAAAAATTGCATACAAACCAAACTTCAGCCGTTCATTAACAAAGCTAAATGACTACGTCAGAATGACACTTCCAGAAAACTCGAGCCTTCAGTGTTTTAGAAAAGCACCACTTTCCATGGTAACCCCAAATACGGAGTCACGAAATCCTATGGATTGTTTGTGTGTAGAAAACCACTCGAAACTGTAAAAAGTCTCGGGCAACAATGGGTTAAACAAGAGTCAATGTACAGTGAAACCATGTAAATGCAACCACCGTTGGGTCATAAAATCCTTGTTGTAATAACGAGGTGATCGCATAAATGGGGTCTCCCAAATAATAAAATGACTCAGTGATTTTAATGTTTGGACGAAAGAGCAGGGTCGTAATAACGAGATGGTCGTAAGGTGGAGTTCCACTGTATGGAAAGTTCCCTAATGCAGAGAGGAGGCTGTTGTGGAGAGGGTAGTTAGTTCAACTGTAGTGGGGTTTTCGCAAAATCTGTCCACATTCTTGGGTTGCTTAGTCAAATTGTCAGTTCTCCAGTAGTTCTCTTCTACATGTAGTTAGTTGTATTACATCCTACATGATGAGCCGTGATGTTTACCGTTTCGATTCTCACTGCTATCCATGACACAAGGCAATTATTAGCATTTTCCGCATCTTTCTTTGGAAAGTAATTTAGAGTTCTTTTAAATGTAAATGTATTTCTTTTGCTAATTGTACATGTGCATATATATGAAACTTGAAAACAATGCCACTGAATAATGAGGACACTCACTAAGGGAAAATTTGGTTAAACACCGTTGTCAAAAGTAGCCGGCTGCTGGTGAAAAGTGCCGCCTACTTGGTTAGTATCGGCCAGCTACTCTGCTTGGCATTTCTTTGCAGATGACGTTTTTTAAATAAAATATCCCTGGACTGGCTGCTTACTTTGACAACTCAGTCGTCTACTTCAAAACTTTCTGACAACCCTGGTTATATTGGAGGCCCTTTTTAAGAGCCTTCACTGTTTTCAATGTTCTTGAAACTTGCAAGGTATATTTATTAACAATTGACCTTGAGATTGGTAAGTTTAGGAAAAAATTTATCAAGTGGTTTTTTGAATAATGTGAAATTTGTAGGCATGGACCAAATTATGTGCAAAAACTGTAACAAAAGCAGCTGAATGCAGGTTAATAAAATTCTTCTCACTCGCAATCGCCCAGAGCAATTCCCCTCTTTTTTTTTTGTATACAGTTTTCAATGGAAGCAAATCATTATGAGATGAAACCGTGCTTCGAAAGCGTAACATTTTCTTAACATATTAGCTAATTGTGTGGATATATAGCATGCTATTTCACTGTTTTTATGATTCTAAAAATTTGTTTCAAAATATTTCCAAAATGCTCTCACAGAATTTGTTCAAACTTTGCCATAATTGAAGCAATTATGGCAGGCACATACTCCCTTAAGCCATTTCTAAAAAACACTCCTGGTACAGAGAAACACAAAAATAAATAAAAAACATATTGGTTTCATTAGGTTGCGATGGCGACTCCATTTGCAATAAAACCTAGATAATAAGAAATTTTCATGTTTATATAATACAGTAATGTTGTGGTAGCCTTTTTCCCATATCTTTACTCATGCTGATGTAGTTAATGCTTAAACTTGGAAGGTATCCCCCCTAAAAAATCCAGTCAAGCCACCTTATTTAATTTTGTTTTCTCTGTCATACCTTTTTCTTGCAATCTTTCATAGGTAAAGAGAGATGAGGAAGTGAAGAAACCTATCAGGTCTGGTTCCCCCAATGACATTAGGAACAAGGAGGATATCTCAAAAAACGATCAGAAATCTCCCCTGTACCTACTAAAGCTGTTATTCCACCTCTCAATTCTGACAATGAAGATAACAAGTCAGGTCTTATTTGCAGAAGGCGGCTATTCCTGAAGAAGGCACAGATGGTGACAGGTGAAAGAAGGGCAAAGGGACGGGCCTTGCTGGAAGCGTTGGAAAGGCCAGGCATCAGTCAGCTCCAGGTGTGGGAATTCCTAGAGCTTGCTGATGAAAACCGACAAGTGAGACCAGGCCCTTAAAAGCAGTCTGATAAACCTTTTTCATTCGTGAGTCCCCTTTGTAATAGTTATCCTTTTAGTTCAGCTCGTCGTTGTTTGTTGTTTGTTGTTTTGTTTTTTTATCCCATTCCTCTCCTGGGAATTTTGCTGAGAAACTTGTTTTGAAGCTAGTGGCTTCGTTTTCTAGTCACTGTCTGGCTTATGAGCTAACTCTTACCAGAAGACTGTTTAAAGGCCGTGTATTTCACAGCGTTCAGTTACAGATGCAAATTGAAAATATTATTTTCAAAAGTTGGGGCATGCATAGAAAGCATGAGATGGTTTCGTGGTTTTAAAGTAACACAGCTGCAGTCACAAATTTCGCTTTCCCTTCTTTATTCGCTTTTATTGCTACCCTTTTTTTCTTTCAATGGACACTGTTACTGGCTTCATTTGGGTGGGCAAATATTGGGAAAGCTTTTAAATAGTAGGATAGCAGGAAATGATTGGTTAATTGGAACATAATTATTTTTGCAATTTTTACATTATGTTACATGGTTTTTTTGTCTTTTCCTCTGGCCCCCTGTACTGAATATTTGTGCTCACTCTTCCTCTTCTTCAAAGTTGTCTTTGAGAAGGGCGTTGAGAATGGGATGAAAGCAGTGCAAGCTAATAAAATACAGTGCATGATACAATGCCAAAGAAAATTTTTTGTTAAGTACAGTTTTGAGAGGAGAAGTAATAGTAAAGACCTTTACTAGCTTGTGGTTGTTATGGCAGATGCTATGTTTCCCCAATGTAGGTCATGTGTGACAACATTTAGGGCATGGAAATCAAGCCTACATGTAATAGTGCTCCAAAGAATGCTTTCTTGAAAATTGTGTATACGTCACATCAATAATTTTTGGACACAAGACCTATATCAATTTTAATGTTATGATGGGTAAATTGTTGTGAGAACACCTCTTCATTCACACTGGGGGAAAGCAAAACACAAGCTAAAAGGAATTTACTGTGTCTTCTTAAGATGTAATACCACTGTCTAATATTCAGCATAAAAGCTACAAATTATCCTGCATTGAAAGTCTTTGGAACAATGATCGAGTATTTGTAATTTATTTGTGCCCTGGCTCATAGCCAGGTGCTACCCTTTTGAAAAATACCCTGTACTAAATCTATCACTGTTTCCCCACACACTTTACATATTGAAACTGCGTGCATATATCCAACATATTTCCTGTAGGGTGAAGAATAGGGTTGGGCATGCATGATTTTACATGAAAAACACAAATTAACTCTAACTTGTTATAAGAATTTTGTCCATGCTTTTCTCAACAAAGGTATGATTAATAGCAATCCAACAGAGAAGGAGGGGTAAGCCTTGCTGGAAGCAGTGAAATATTGTTTCAACATGAGAAGAGAAATTTCATATCTCCGAGCGGCCATGCAATATTATACCACTGAAATACTTAACCATTTCACTTATTAAATGAATAATTTTTTTTTCTGTAAAAGGTGTGAGTTCTTATATTGTACCATAGCAATGATGATCTTTTCACATGCAAAGTAGACTACGAGTAGTCCCCCATTTTTCCTCAGGGATAGCAGAGCGAGCGAAACGCGAGCGCGCGTAAAAATCACCCCACGTGAGAAAAGGCGCACGTGGGGTGATTTTCACGCCCGCTCGCGTTTCGCTCGCTCCACTATCCCTGAGGAAAAATGGGGGACTACTCGTAGTCTACATGCAAAGATAACTTACTTGTTATTTTGACATGTGAAGTTGTCATGTTTTCGAACAAAAACTCATATGCCATTCGCGTAGCGTGCTCGTTTCGGCTCATTGCTTTAAGAACGAGTTATATTTTTTGTGTAGCGTGCTTGTTTTGACTCATCGCTTTAAGAACGACTTATGTGTACCGACGTCCGTGCTTGTTTCGACTCATGGCTTTAAGAACGAGTTCTGTTGCCTGTTAGGCTCGGCATTCTCGACTTAGGGCTTAAAGAACGAGTTATGTTACACGTGCTGTGTGTTTGTTTTGACTCATGGCACGACTAGACTTCCTGAGATTCCATCGGAATCGATGTGTTTCCAATGGATCCGATGGACTCCATCGGACGACTTTCCAACCCTCCTCTAAGTATTGTTTACACTTCCGGTTTCATCTCATGACTAAACTTCCGGTAACTCAAGTGGACTCTACTGAACTTCCGGTTTCATTTTTCGACTAGACTCCGTCGGACTCCAGGTTTTGTCCACTGGAATCTGGTCGAGAGTATTGGACATGTGTGTATGTGCAAGGTATGTGAGAAGCAAAGGCCCTGGTTTTGTTGAGTTTTAGGTCCACCTGATATTCCTGCGATAATCACCTGAATGAAAATTTTTGAAGCACATGGAAAAAATAGAGGTTTTCCGTAATCACAAGTAATTCGAAATTAACACATACGAGACTTGGATTTGCCTTCACCGCCAGAAATCTATTTACCAAGCGAAATTAAAGTAGAGACTGATCTCAGCTAAGTACCACATAGGACAAGCCATCAGTAAGATACAAGGGATTTCAAAGTCTTTAAATCCATACATGCATAAGATATTTCAGGTTAATTGCTTGGATCTCCCGATAACCTGAACTTGCAATAACTCTTAACTTTTGTTTTGATTTCCTTTGAAGATTCGAGTTATCAGGAGTCAACAGTATATCATCGTATAATTATTCAAATTGTTATTATTATTAATATAAATTTTTAATGTAGTTAAAACCAATGTTAATAAAGATAACTACACCAGCTTATTGTACCTATTAATAACAATCAACTACTCACTCTCCACATTGACAAATGCAGACTTGCTCTGCCATCCTACTGTATTGTTAGCATGACACGAATACTTTCCTTGGTGATGTTCAAATTCTGGAGTGCAAATCACAAGTGCACGAGCATCATCAGGCTGCAAGAAGTAATAACCCTTTGTCCGACTCCTGCAGTTATCTTTGTTCCCGCCCAGGTTATATTTTTGCTTGTTGACCACCAAGGGATCACCTTTGCCATCCTTGTAGAAGTACCACGTGATGGTAGGTTCTGGGTTCCCAGTAACATCACAAAACAACTCCAAATTACCACCCTGAGGTTCTTGAAGAACTGTCACATTAGTTATATCTTTGATGTTTGGTGCTTTCGGAGCTATGAAAACATAAATAAATATTAATACATGATTCAACATGATTATTACATGAAACAAAATTAACAGCAACAAACAAAAACACAAATTTAAAGTTGTTTTGCTTCAAAAACATCACATAGAATTCTCTAATGTACAGTTGGCGTGAAACTATGGATGGTTATTCTAGACAAAATTAATTTTAATATACTATGTTATAAAATAACTGAGATAGTACGCCCGATCTGATTGGCCAAAAACCTATGTTTTTTTTATACCGGTAAACCCACAAAAAACGGGCTACCCCACAAACAATACCTGAAACCAGCTATTGATCTGCAAACAATGATTTTAGAAAAGCTCAAAAATAGAAAAAAAAATTACCTACCCAGCCCTTCTCTCTCTTAAAAAGAGTTGGTTTCCACGTTTCATTACAGATTTTCAGTAAGCGCTAATTTCATAGTTTTAAAATTTGTAAAGTACACAGTTGGCAAGCAGTTGGCTTTTATGTCGCAACAATGCAAAATCGCAAAGAAAGACAGCAGCCGTGTGAGTTTGTGGTGTAGAAATTTTTGAGAAAAACTTATTATAACAATAACTCTTTTACCACCAGCAACGAAACAAGTAGTTCTATTATTCTTGAACTATTTCTCTGTCAGAATCAGGGCCTGTTTACATGGAGGTGGGGGACCCCAGGCAGGCGAGGTAACCCGCGGCAGGTCACCCCACCCATCATGTAAATGTGATCAAACTAGAAATACGTGAATCGGAGGACCTCGCGTAGACCTGCTACAAGTCGATCTCACGAGTTTCTTAGCGAGCGGAGCGAGCTTTTTAGGCCGCGAAGAAGCCAAGCGAGCGACGAAGTCCCGAGAGGTCGACTAATAGCGACCTTAAGCAAACCAGTGGACGGCGGCCAAGAAAACGTTAACCGGAAGTCACGACAGCCTTTCTCAACATAATTTGCATAATCATCTTGCCGTCCACCTGACGTCGCAGAGGTGAGTTCCAGCATTTTGGTCGCGTCTCGAGATCGTGAGTTTGTTTCCTTTTAAAACACATAGTTTCGAAAGCAGATCTTTGCTATTGACTTCAGATCACATAGACAATTTTCGTTTTGTTGTTCTACTTCCAGCGAGAAGAAATTCACTACGTTTTCTGAAGCTCGAAGAGCGAAGTTCCCGCCCTGGCCATTTTTTTTTGGTTTGTATTTGAAAGTTGTAATTTATTAGAAAGATTTGGCCTCTCGCTGGGATAAAAGTTTGTTGTCATACAGGTCAAACATCATGGAGTGGTCCGAAAAACACGATGCAATTTTATGCCGGGACTCTCGTTGAGCGAGCCGTTCAACTACAAACCTCGAACAGTCGAGAGAGGAGGGTTTGGGAAGAAATAGCTGAAAAACTCAACAGCATCAACGACCCAAAATTTAAAGTTTCAAAGCGATCGGTACGTGAGCATTTCCAGCTTCTGCTTTCAAAATTAAAAACCAGAAGGAGATCAGAGGGGCGCGCATTTGGAATAGAATTGGAAGACATCGAGGTCAAACAGAGCAGTTGTTAACAAATCCCTGACATCTCTGAAAGACGTCATGGCGAAGCAAAATCTAACCCACGATCAGAAGTTCCTATTTTATCTCGTTTTCTTTTTTGGTAGGCAACGTGAGTCTGACCGTCGCGACGTCTGCCTGCTTAAGTTTATATTTTCGCGCAAAAAGGCGTCGTTCTAGTTCCATGTCTCCTCGGCCTGGTACGCCGTCCTCTTGGTCGGCGTCCAGGTTTGCTTGAGGTCGGTATGTCTCGCTTGAGGGGTTTCCATTTGCGTTTCGCGCCAAACATGGGGAGTGGTGTGACTCCCATTTGGGGTTTCAGGTTGCGTTTGCGAGTCCCAGACTTCAAAGGCGGAATGAATTGATTCCACCCACTCTGACAAAAACAATCGAAGGCGCGTGTGTTTTTCCGCCATCGAAAGAGCAAATTTATCCACTTTGTGCTAAAAGGTGTCACAAACAAAGATTTCAACTCAATGAAACGCGTACGGCAAGCACACGCTTCAGATCGTGATTCCAGCGAGCAAAAGAATCACAGCAACAAAAGCGCCCTGTTTGTAGCGCGTAATGTTCTCCCTTCGACTGATAGTTCGATCACGCGCTGTCATGCAGAGATGCAACAGCACAATTGGGTTTCGGTGATTTTCATGAGGAAGCGAGTACACTAGTTTCTCTTTCAGATTTAAGATATCCTCTAGCTGTTCTTAGCAATCACCTTCGATGCAACGGGAATTGAGTTTTGAGACCTGATCTTTGAGAAATCAGCGGAACAATCATCAAGACGATGGCATTGCAATCCTAACCAAATAAACGGTCGGAGGTGATGGAGCCAGCTGAAAAGTCAGACTTTTCCCAGCTCTGGTTAAAGAGCAGACACAAAAACATCTCTCCCCGACAGATATGCTTATATTGTTTTTCCCTAATTATCCGTCGCCTCAAGAGCATCGGCTTTTGTAATGGACAAGTCGTGTTAATGTGCTTATTACTTGTGAGTGACAACTTTATTCCCAAGGGTTCCCATGAATTTTCACAGAACCAAAAATTTGTTACAGATGGTTTCCGATCTCTGCGCACGGAACCGAAAAATTGTTTTCCATAAGATTTGAAATCTTAGGGCTTGATAAAAATCAAGTAACTGGGCCCATAACTCACCTTTTTTTAGCACGTGAATACATACATGAAATATGAAAATTCACGAGTTACCAGTAACTTTTGCACCTATCAGAAGGCCTACCATGTAATAGTGATCTCCGGCTCTTAGCTCACTCACCTTTCACCGTAATATTGATGGCATCAAGGAGCGTTGGAAACAAAACAGAAAGGGTGCATCCATACTCTCCTGTATCATTCAGTGTCACATTCTTTATCGTCAGTTTAAACAACCTTTCAGTTTCTTTCGGTAGATTTTCAAAAATGGTGACATTGACACGTGGATCACTTAGATCTATTTTTTCCCCATCTTTTGCGAAAAGGAGGCCCCAGTCACCACCAATCCGGAAAATGCAGAAGACCTGTAAGGTAGACTTCTCGTTCACCTCAGTCATAGTTTTGACAGTGTCAATCTCAACCTTGGGATCTGATTTCACTGTTGATCAATCATAGGAAATTAGCAATACATGTAATTATTTAAAAATGAGGATGGTAAGATATGAAGAATTATGCAGATCAAGGAGGATGCTATCCACCGGTGGATAACATCATCCAAGATCTGCATAAGTTCTTAACAAGCTTGCTTTCTTAAGAGCAAATGTCTGTAAAAATCGAGCAAAATCGAAATTTCGCGGCCACAGTCAAAAAATCATTGTCGCTCATATCTTGTCCATAGATAGGCATAAGTAAGTAACTAAACGCGGTGTAGTTTGTTTTTCAAAAGGCCGCTTAGATTTGGAGAAAATCGACAAAATCAATTCTCGTGGTCGGCGACTTAAAAACAACCAACATTTGGGGGTGTTACGAAAACTAAGACCCTCGAAAACTAAGACCTAAGACCTAAGACCTGTCTTAGTTTTCGAGATTACGAAAACTAAGACCCCCTAAAATCGAATCCGTCGAAATATAAAGTCAAATTGTAACCGAAATAGGTCTGATCTGTCAAATTATATCAAGTTCGATCCTTTCCACTAAGACCCCTTTTAGTTTAGACCCCCACCAAGACAATCTCTAAAATTTCTGCAAAGTCGAATTACGACCATTTGAAGGCTATAATCCTAGGCTATCATACGCGATCTACGATCCGCTAATAATTTGAAGACTCGCTTTAAAAAGAGGACCAAAGCCATAGACTTCCTACGTATCTATTGTACACTGAAAATATGCTTTACCCCTATTGGTCTTTAATTTTGTTGTTTATCCTTTAAATCATGAAATTGGCTGGAGATGGATGTTTTTCTTCGTGTCTCTGCGATCGAGATTGCGTTACCTGTAACTATCGCCTGAGGGGGTTTGTGTCCAGCGGTTGTCGTGTTTATTTTATTGTTCTGAAATCTCGAGACGATGCTTTGCTAGTACAGGAAATTCATTCACTCATTCGTTTTTTTTTATTATTTCACGAGCGATTTTAGCGATTATCCCGCACAGACTATTTCTCCTTGCCCCCCACCCCTACCCCTCAACTACTTTTGCATTGTAACCCGGTGATCTCCGGGGTGGCAACGATAAAAACAAACGCTAGAAAAACGCAATGTAGCATATTCTTCTTTTTTCGCCCTTTTTATAAGAGCACGTTTCTATCCATGACCTGGCCAGAAAAGGAAAAAAAAATCCGTATTTTTGTGTGATGTTTAATCGATAACGCCGTTGACCACTTAGCGATCAGACATTCAGGTCGCAGCGACATGTCAGCCCGCAACGAAGACAAAAATCCATCTCCAGCGGAAAACCAATTTTATGACTTTAAGGATAAACAACCAAAATTATAGGGGTAAGGCATATTTTCAGTGTACAATTATACGAAGGTAGTCTATAGCTTTCATCCTCTTCTTAAAGCCACAATACATGTATTGACAATGTATGTCTGCAAATTGTTAGAAGAAGCGGATCGTCTAGCACGCGTATGGTAGTAGTTTTTGTTTGTCTTACGGATTGTAGTCTTCAAACGGTCGTAATTCGACTTTGTAGAAATTTTAGAGATTGTTTTGGTGGGGCTCTTAGTTTTCGTAATTACGAAAACTAAGAGGGGTCTTAGTTTTCGCAATTACGAAAACTAAGACCCCTAAATTTACCGTTAAATTTGACCTAAAACTCAGTGGAATGGATCGAACATGATATAATTTGACAGATCAGACCTATTTCGGTTAAAATTTGACTTTATATTTCGACGGATTCGATTTTAGGGGGTCTAAGTTTTCGTAATCTCGAAAACTAAGACGGGTCTTAGGTCTTAGTTTTCGATTGCCTGCGTGCAGACGTCTCCTATTTCCTTTGTTGCACGCGGAAAAGGGACGTCTGCGTAACGCCGTCGCTAATCATGTGTTCTAGCGTCCCGCTGGCAGGGTATTCTATTTCGCAAAAATTCTGAAATAATATCCGGTTGGAAATAAGAGTTGACAGGCCAAACACCATATCATAAGCTCGTGATAACGCGAGACGTGACCTTGAGAGTCTCCTTGAGCAGAGGTTTTTCTTCTTTTCTCTCTCGCGCGAAGGTTACTAGCACTACACAGTGTATGTAGCATTCTAAACTTTGACTGAGTAAATGTCGTTTTTGCCGCACTAATTCTTACATTTAGAGGTCATGAAGCAGGTTTGTTACATGCATACTGAGCAGTCATTTCCTGTGGTTTATGCTTCTGTGGGTGTTCCTGGTAGGATTTGATTTCAGATGCAGTTGTAAAGTGTTTGAATTTTCTTTGACCTCTGTTTGTTACGGCTAAATAAAGATTTTAGTTTCTTTGGCTGGCTTTCTCCGAAATGCCTGCCTGGTGCGAAGTCCATGCCGCTTTTGTAGTTTTCTCAGACACTGTTTACAAATATGATGTGATGTGTTATGCACAGTAAATTGTAAAGAAACAATTTCCTCGTACACGTTAAATTTTCCTCGGCCTCGCACAAGATTTCGAACGGTATGCACACAATGGCACATGTTTTGATTTGTTTTGGCTGGAAAACCCCGATTACATAAATCACCGCATACATTATCAGACCAGATTCGATAACAACCAATCAGCGTTATGTCAAACAATGTGCACTGTGTGTCAGCCTATCAGAGCATGTTCCCAAGATCTTGGGAACCCAGCGGGACGTTCGAACACGATTAGCGACGGCGTTACGCAGACGTCCCTTTTCCGCGTGCAACAAAGGAAATAGGAGACGTCAGCACGCAGGCAAAGTTTTCGAGGGTCTTAGTTTTCGTAACACCCAAAATTTGGGGCAAAATGAGGTGGTCTCAAAACTTCGCTCGCACGCAACAGTCACGCACACAGGAAGAAAGCGGGGTAAAATATTCCCCGATAAATCAATTTATAAAGGGTTCCACTTCTGGTTTGGTGATGAATTCTTATCTCTTAACGATAATCTGGAAGATAAACAATGTTATTTCAGTTTGGATACTTTTTCAACTAAACGAAATTTAAATTTAGGCTGAAAGTTGCGTTTTATATTTTAGGCATGTGCTACACCTTGGTTTTACCTGAAACTCAAGTCATATGTTACTTAAACATTGTGCTAAAATATATGCAAGAATTGGCCTGGGTAATTAAATTTGTACTTCACACGAACCGTCTGAAGTTGATTAAATTTTGTTTGAAATATGAGACTTTTCAAGAACGTCGGTTGGTTGTTGCTCGAGTTGGTTGTTGCTTGACAAGTCACGATGGCTGGGCTCTCCGAAAGAAACTTAACTCACAAGCGCACTTGTATTAAAGACATTTGTACTGAAACGATAATTTTTGTCACCTCAAATGCGTTTTCCCGTTCTAGTTAACTGGCATTGCGCCTTGTCCTAAGCTAATCAACCAAGATAAAAAACTCGATGAAACGTGGTGCGTGAAAATAACCTGAAACAGAACGTTTCTTGGTATTGCTGGCCTTTCTTTTCCGCAGTCAAACTTTTACATCCATTGCCATTTAAAAATTCTAGGTCTCACAAAAACTGCGATTTTGATAGTGAAACTTTCGGGCTGCCAATACCTCTTTGGTCATAAGTGTTGCGTGACAGGATTCACAGGCTTCCCAATCTAACCATTTGAGCGACGCCGTTTTTTAATGTTCTTGCCAGAAGTAGCATATTATACTACTAACAATCCATATCATGTATTTTTCTTTTTTTTTTTTCCTAAGTTTTCTTAAAGTGTGCTTCCATACAATACTAAATAAGTCCAAAAATATCGTTTTTCACGTCAACTTACCCCCGTTGCCTTGTATGTGCCTTTGATTGACTTCAGGCTTCAATCTCTAGCTATTTCACCGCGTTATTACCTATCAAGCGGCTGTCTTTCCTCTCGCATATGCAAGTTCCATTGTTTTGGATAACAGTTTTTGTAAACATTCTGCAATTATCTTTCAGTATATATTTGTCTCGAGTAGAAGGGTCACCCGCCTACCCGAGCTTTCCTGGAAGAGGCAACGTTTCAAGCATTTCTTTACAAAACATGGCGAACCGTTTAAATTACAAAAAGTTGGCTCGGCTAGAAGGGTAGCCTGTTCCACGCTCCGAGATAGTCGGGCTCGCTGAATTGAAAAAGCGCGAACACGAAAATAAAACGGGAGGAAACTGCAATTTTTCGCCTTCCTTTTACTTTCGCTTCTTCCACTATCTGAGAGCCTGGAACAGGCTACTAGAAGGGTGACCCACCTTGTCCAGTCACCCTTTTGTAATGGTAGGGTCAGCCTCCTAGCCGAGCCAAAGTTTCTCCGTAGGCACTGTACGCGCTTTCCATTCAACAAAAATTCCTGTTTGAAATCTCGGAAAAACCACTTGCCCAGTAGAAGGTATATTGCAGTTAGTTCCAGTTGCACAGACCAAACCAAAGCCATCGTGAGTTTGGTTATCGTGCTTGTAAGCAGAATACAGATCAGTGGTCCTGGGAAAAATAATTTTGTAAAATGGAAGGGGACATTTCGGTCTGACCGGCAAATCCGATCCGTATCGTTAAAGGGCTCGCATAGCCAAGGCACGGACAATTAGAGCTCGCGCGAAGGCCGGTTGGGGTCAATGTTTTTTTTTTTCTCTCGGCTGGGAGGGTGACTCTCCTACACGAGACAGGTTTTCTCCATGAAGGGAATTAAAATTTTCGGATACCAAAATGGTAATAGAGAAGGAATCAGAAAAAATTTCAAAATTCTCGAAAAAAATAGTATTGAAGCCCTCGTAATAATTAATGGCGCCGCAAAGAACTTAGTAATTTAGATAACCTAAAAGGGTTTTTAATGTATTTAGGAGGAAACTGTCGTTGGGTGCCCCTGTCAACTATCGCCTAACGCTTCCATTACTTTCTTTAACCGCATAGTTTTTTTTCAGTGTTACTCTCGGTCATTTTGCCATTTTCTGAGTGTGCGCTTTGGTACCGGCCTTGAGACAGAGACTTGGTGGCTCGTCAGAAATTCATGGTCAGAACTCTTGAAAAGAAAGTCTCCGACCATAACTTTCTCTGGCAGTTATCAAAGAAACGGATATTGAGGCTGCATCCGCTTCTGGGCCCGTTCAATTCTCGAAAGTCCCGATAACTAACGGGTCCCTAAAGCTGTTGTGGTTTACATGCAAGATAGAAATTTCAATAGTTTTGCATCTAACATGATAAAACTATCCGTTAATGAAAAAAATGAGGTATTTTGCTGGCCAGAACCGGCGCTCCTCTTAATCCTTTTATTTCGATTTGACTATTGGATTTCGGGCCCGAAAAGTTATAGGGACTTTGGACAAACGGGCCCCTGGTCCGTTGTCTAAGGCCGCAAGACGGAATTTACTGGAAAAGTAAACTTAATGCTTTTGCCTAAACAGTGTCCTTTTAACGTGAATTTGAAGACGTCAGGGCCTAACCCACTGGTAAACACGTTTGATTCCAGCTTTCTAACTTGCTGTGTCTGCGGTATATCATCTTAGTGTCAGATTTTAAAGCTTTTTTGAGTAGCCGAGCATGCTGTAAGGAGGAAATTGTCTGATACACTTTGACGTATCCTTTGGTAAAGGAATGAGAGAGGAACAGGTCAGCGTTCTAGACCCCAGGTTTCCTTCTTTGTATATATTCGATACTAGAAACTGAACTCATGCCTTAAGTTTTCACACTCGAGGAGAGGTTTGTAGACTTGAAAATAGCGCTACGTCATCTACCACTCCATAAGGCCGTCCTGCCCGGATAGCATTTCCCCAAGTACTTTGCGATATTTTCTTAGCTGCGTGTGTTAATGTAAGTTTTTTAATGCTGGTTAGCCTGTGCAAGCATTTGAAAAGGGGGAGACAGGGTTTAGAACGAATTGCTTTCCTAACATCCTTGGCCAAGAGTTACAGCGTAACCCTTTCGACGGATTCTTCTATCCCCTCAACGACCTTTCCATTGGAGTCTTACTAGGTAGTACCCAAGTAAGATTCGGAGCCACCCTTCCCCAAAATATGCATATGAAATAACTATTAATAATCACAGGTGTTCATGAAATAACACGATTTTTTTATTGTGATTCTTCACTCCAGGCCGTGTGCGCACTACGACTGCGATGCATTGTGGATTCAAAATTTTCAAGATGGCGGCGAAGGTCGAGAAATTTCGCAGGTTATATGCTTTATTTTTCAATAGATACAGTTCTTTCCTTCGATAGTTTTTCTCGATTTCACAAGCTAATATTTGTTTACATTTTTTCTGTGAAGAAAAACAAATCAATATTCTTCATTTCAATCTAAAACGTGGAGCCCGAATATTCCTCCTGTAAGAGCATGAAATTTGAACCCGGTTTTTAAGAGGCTATAATTTCCATTATATTGCCCGTCGAAAGTAGAAGTTAGTTGTAAGTGTTTCTACAAACCTTGTTCTACGCTAAATTTTTATCGCTCTCCAACGCGCCCCACGTTTTGTGATACTTTTTCCGAATTGAAACCGGCATGTTTTCATGGGAAAATGTAGCCTCGCGAAGACCAATGTGACATGTTACGAAGTGTTACTGTTGTAATCACAAGCTGATCACAAAATAGCGGGGCAGCGGCGACTGGTTCCTCCAAACAATAGCATTAGGTGAGCATAAAATGTTCGAAACTGGTATATAAATAGGCTGATGAGTACTCTGATGTAGGAATGTCTGTTTTTGTAATAGGACTAAAAAAGCATAATAAAATTGCAGTCATACATGTGACTCTCTTTATGCAGGTATAAAATCAGTACGATTAGAATCACAGGTATTAAATTAAAAGATAAGTTTGATTATACAGTTAAGCCCTGTGCATTTTGAAACTAGCAATCTGCTTCCAAGATTGGTGTGTGTTGTTGTGTGGATGTTATGACTTTGTCAGTTTCTTGCCTAGTCCCTGTTTTATTCAGTGGTGATTAGCCTCCGTAGCAGGCATTTAAAAGGAAAGGGAGAGGGGTTTTGGGCACAAGAGAAATGCGAAGAGTGCATGAGGAAGGAGGGAGTGATTTCAACATTCACCTGGTTGATGTTTATAATGCAAAAAACAATTAGCCTCCTGTATGGCAGGCATTTCTCTCTCTCCTTCCCTCACATTTCTCTTGCACCAAGACCCACTTTCCCTTTTCTTTGAAATGCCTGCCACACAGGCTACGTGATGTCATTCAATCTGTTTACCCGTTTACACTGTTTAATATATATCAAACAATTTGCATATTTTGGTGGCTTTAGTTAAAATATAAATTGCTTGATCATTGAATGTGCTTTTGATATTGGAAAACCAAGGCTGAAAAAATGGTGGCAGGGAAAGGAAATAGAAAAAGGGGAACAATGGGGCAGTAAAATCATGATACTAAGAACCTGAATTAACTAAGTAAGCCTAAACAGATTCTTATATAAATAGTAGTTAGCACAAGTTTTGGCTATTTAGGTTTTTAAATGGGTTCATATTTTCTGAAGTAAAAATGTAGCTAAGAGTATTTGCGTTTCACCTTATTCCTCATATAAAGTCTGCATACCAAATTAGAAGTTATGTGAGAATGGACATAAAAAGAGGAATGTATTTAAATTTAAATATTGGCATTTACATTGCAGTTGGAGTCATAAGACAGCTTTGTTTCCAAAGAAGATTCTAAATGTTGATTTATCTCTGCTCAAGTGTACAGAATTTTTTCATAGATTTCAAAAATAAGAACCTGTTTCAAATTTTAGGCTAAACAGGTTTTTATATAGAGGGGCCTCATCTGGCATAATTTTATTTTAGCTGAACAGGTTCTTGAAATTCAGGTTCTAAGTCGGGGGGTTTTACCGTACCACTAGGATCCACCTCTGCAATAACTGGTAACCCAAAAGCCCTCTTTATGGACAACCGCTTCATACAGACACCTCATCAAGGCTGTGCTCTAGCAGAGCCCTGTGGCCCCTGGCACCTAACTTTTGCTTTTGGGTGACTAGAAAATCTCAGACTTTTCATACAAATCATATGCTGGGCAGCCTAGATTTTACAGGTTCAGAGAACTAGGCTCCTTTCAATGTTCCTTAGAGCACAGCCTTGCTCATCATTACAGATAGCTTGCTTTGTTCCCTGGAAAAAAGCCCTTAAATTTTCTCTAAATTAAGATGGTTAATTTCTACGGTCCCCTCAGTGTCTGTATAACAGAGTTGACTGTGAGTATGATGAGACCAATGACACCATATTTAAATTATAAAATTGGGGTGAGGAGAAAGGAAAGGGGTCTCAAGCTATGTTGTCCCAGCCCTGATTACAGGAGATTTGTAAACATGTATGAATTTCACATTTTGAAGGGTTTTTATAATCCAAAAAAATATGTGATAACATGTGTTTGTACATACTGACACAATCATTAAACAAATATTGGCTGCAGCTTTTAAAATCTATTGACTGCATCAGGCTTTGTAATCACAAATATGCCATTTTCAGTTTCAATCCAGTTATAAGACATTCTATGACTCATACCAATAGAAAAATATGGCAAATAAAGATGCTCAATATTATATTATCTAATATATAGATTTAGCCAGGGCTAAAAGCGAAGCTCCCGTTAATAAATTCATAATTTAAATCAAACAATAAACTTGTAATCCACAGATCAGGGCACATTCATTTGACTTTTGAGGCAAAGGCTGAGTGATTTTGGAGAAAAATCAGAATTTGACCGTCCAAGAGTCCGAAAAATAGCAATCATGTTCGATCACAGTAGATTAGGCCTGGAAAACAAATAGACCTATTCGTGTATTGTATTTGCATTAGCTGTAGCATCATAATGTGGCATTCACCAGTCTCTCCAACATTGCTCCGTTAGAGAGACTATGGATAATTGGACAACCCCGAAATATAATTTTAAGGAACACATGCGCCACGATAGTCCTTGGTGGCAGCCAATTTACACGTTGCATTCCTCTGTCTAAAAGAGAGGCCAAAATAAAAATCAGGCCGGATTTTTTGTGTTTGACAAGTTTAGTCTACTAGTAAATCTTGGCGACGAATCTGGTGGTGTGTAAACCAGCCTTTTAAACATACTTCTCATCACGTCTCAGGTAAACAGCACACAGACCTCGGACAGAATTTGTTCTTTTTTGCCCTATTTAAACCTATAATTCTGCAGTTTTTCACGATTTTGCAAGAGAATTTGCACTCATTCAATATCCACGACGATCAAAGCACGCGCTTCCTTTGCACAACAAAATTATAGCATTGAATTATAAAACGTTTTCTGTTAAAAAAATCTGGTCCTATGTGATATGCGGGAAGTAATTATGGGCTTTTAATGAAAACGATAAAAAAAATTCCCAAAATCACTTTTCGGCCAGCCGGACGGGTTCTCACTTTTGACAGGCACCAAATTTGCAGTGCGATTAATAGAGTTACCATTTACGCTTCAACATGATAGAGAAATTGTTATGTTTAGGTTTTATTTCCCTTTATTCATTAAACTGTGTATGATTTTGTTATGTGTAATCTTTAAAAGCGAGTGATATTTACGCGCGGCGTTTTGAGTATTCCTACATGCGATGTTTATGTTCGACTGGAAACAACCGGTGCAGCGATGAAAATTGCGAGAAGGACTACTAACAATCAATAAAATAAGTTTAATTCGGTGAAACATGTACAGAGACAATAATTTTCATTCACGAAGAGAAGTATTGAGAGTAAAGTGTCTCAGAAAATCATGAGTCAGGCAAGCATAAGCTTATTTATGTTTTAAGCCGGCTTCCCGGTGTTCGCTCTTTTTCAAGATGAACTCGAGGCAAGAAAATTGCTCAGAGCTTTCTGTTTACAGCCAAAATCATAACTAAATAATCTTCGGAACCTTTTCTTTGAATTTGCGGGTCAAAAAAATGTCTAAACGCTTTTTAAACCTGATACTATTGTCGGTTAGATCATTGCTCGTGTTAGTTCGTGTTTTAACTTAAGCCGCATAAACCATACGCTCGACTTCAGGAAACCGAAAAAAAAAAACTTCAAAAACAATAATGGCTCAAGCTTACCAGTCGAGATGCTGCTTCCGAAGGTCATCAAGTGTTCCAGAATCGCTTGAGACTTTTCAACCTTCTTACGCCTCAAGCAAGGGCAAGTGAGTAAGCTCATTTTTGAAAACGATGCCATCCGAAATCGGATTTCCAATGACTTTGACAAGCGGTGCATTTGTCAACAAGAAGCGCAATAAACAAACCAGCCACGAATTACAGAACAATCTTGATAGCAGCTGTATTTCATTTTGTACACCAAGTAGAAAAAGACAGTTTAAAAAATCACAAGATGACACAAAACTCTCTCAGCTCCAGCTATCAGTAAGCAAGTTTCCAGACGCTGCAAAAATTTTCCGCATAAACTCACCTGTCAAATTTTGACCAATCAGAACATAAAAATTGGACGTAGAGCGTGATCAACGCGTGACAAAGTCAAAAGCGATTGAACTGCCTGCATGTAAATGTAAAAGCCGGTTGAATTTTCGTGTCCGAGATCAGTTCGAAATCAACATTTTAAAAGTGCGGCTCATGAAACACGACTTATTTCATATGCATTTTAAAAATATTGAACTTGAGCCTGCGATCATTAGAAAAGTAGCAACTTGTCAGCGAATACCTTCAAAATATTACTCGAACTCAGAGGGTCGATACCTGAGCCTGCGATACGGTCAGGCGATACTGGTCAGCAGAAACACTGTTTTGACAGCTGTCAATTAATCAAAACATGGATGTACAATATCAGGTTGCAGGCTCCGAAACTAGCTAGAAAGTGTGAGATTAAACATTGGTATGCCTGTGGTGCGGACGGACGGAAGGTCGGGTGGTCGGTGTACGGTCACGTGATTGCCGAATTTTCTAGGATGGATAGATTTTCTATAAAGCTATGGGGCTTCGAATTGAGCCCGTGATCAAATAAAATATCAGCGCAAAACTTTAAACACTACGTGACCTCAATAGATAGAAAAATGAGCCCGCGATCCACTTAGGTGATGATGGTCAGCGTATACTCTAGTTTGACAGCTGTCAATTAACCTTCATTAGAATGCCGAATATTCGAATTAACAGACTACGAGTGTGAGTAGGACATTTCCGTTCGGCATGTAGTGGAAAATGCCAGATCGTGTACCTGAGCGAACCTGAGCCCTCGTTATTAGTTTTCTGATAGCGGTCTGAACATGTCCCATTTTGACAGCTGTCAATTGACCTTAATTTGGCCTGCCAATGTAACTTTAAACGACTGTCAGCCAACTGACAGCCTTGCCCGGCGTAGTTTCGTTTTTATGTTGAATTGGTAAGTGTGACATATTATATCAGCTTATATATAGGGGCAAAACGACTGGTCTTTTATCTGAGCCCGCGAGACGGTCATGTGATAATTGTCAGCGGATGTCTGATTTTGACAGCTGTCAATCTAATCGTACTCATACGGATGGCTTACATAACTAAGAGCTGAGGCTAGTCAAGTTGTGCAAGATCTATTGTGACATTTGACAGCGGCTTACATGAAGTGTGTGTACGGACGGGCGTACGCTACGTCATAACCAAATTTTCTGGGATGGATAGTTTACCAAATTTTCTTACCCATGGTGCTCCGCTGCGCGCGCGCTTCGCGCGCGCGGGAGCTCCGCTATAAAGAGGACACAAGTTCACTGTACACAAATACTCTCTACTTTATTTACTTGTCTTCATGTGATGATAAATAGAGATGTTAAGCAAAACGAAATGTAGCCTCCCCGCAGACGTCCTTTGGGGTTCGTTTGTCACGCATTCATTTCTCCCCCACGGACGTCTGCTAAACAGAGCCGACTTTTACGTTCACCAATCACAGGCCGTTTACGGATTTTTGTAAAACGTAACCCGAGCAGCTTCTTAAGATTCGCACGATCAGTGAGGCTTTTGATCGAGTGTGCGAGAAATTTGTAACTAATACAGAGTTAAACAAGTATCAGAGAGAAGCTATCCTGCAAATTTTATAGCGAAGACCGATGAGTTCATAAATTTGCCGACGGGATTTGGGAAATCCCTTATCTCTCAAGCTTTGCTGCTTGTTTGCGACATATTGCGTGGAACTACTGGACATTACTGTTGATGTTGTTTCTCCCCTGGTAAATCTTGAAAGATCAATCTACAAAGCTGGAAAATATTGGTATTCCTGCTGTAACGCTCAGTGATATTAGCAAAGAGAATATGAGGGTTGTCGATAGAGGGACTTTCTCTGTTGTTTACGGAAGCCCAGAAGCTTGGTTGAAGATCGATCGGTGGAGGAAATGTTAGCGAGTGACTTGTACAGTTAGTATGTGGTCCTCGGTTGGCGACTTTCCCGAGCATGATTAAATATTTCGTCGAGAAATAAAATACAATGAACAATGAAAGGTTCAATGATTTATTGTCATTCTTTCTTTTTTTCTTTGAAGGAGCGAGATTAAAGTTTGTTGACAGGTAGGTTAATTTGTCTTTCTAGCTTGAAGTTTGGACTCGGCGGCACCTTGGTCATGTTTACTTAGCTTGTGAATAAATAGAACGCAATGGGAGGACGTGCCTTTTTGCAGAACAAGTTTTCAGATAAACGTTTTTCTGCCGTTGGAAACACATTGCTGTAGACTTCGAATTTTTTGTTTTACCGACTCTTGAAAAAATATAACCAAATTTTGCGTACTGGTCCTTGGTTCGCGACCCATGACCTTGGTGGAATTACATTTCTCAAAAAAGGAAACGGCCTTTGTTTTCGAAGAATGCTTTGAATATCTTCCCTATACACGTTTACAAGTTCTCTTTTCTTAATACTTCGAATATATACAGACTTAAAAGTAATTATTGTTTTCGACCGCGCTGAAAACCGCTCCGCGCTCGTGTGGGAGACTGTTATCAGAAGTCTTTCAAAGAAAAGCAGATTATTTTATAGTCACAACTTCCGAAAAAAATATACAGCTGACTGCAGCTTTATTGCATCGTTTCTGTGATTTCTTCAAAACGTTTGAGTCCTCTCATGTAGAAGATAGCCGTAAAATAAATAATTCACTTGAGAATACCAGAGACATCACTTATATCACGGCGCGTGATTGGCTGATCGTGACACAATAACTAACCGCTTATTGGCTTATTCAAACAATCCAGAACGTAAAAGTCGGCTCTGTTTAGCAAACGTCCGTGGGGGAGAAATGAATGCGTGACAAACGAATCCCAAAGGACGTCTGCGGGGAGGCTAAACGAAATGCAGACTTGGTGCCAACAGAGAAACAAGTCCTCGAAACGATGACCCCTCAACTTCGATTCTCTTATTACAGCTAGCAGGTGAACATCTTGCAATGCTGAATGACAAAACAAAATAAGCTCACTGTGTTTAAATACCGTTGCCGGGTATTCTGAAGAAGCTCCTAGTATTTTATGAGTATATCACAGCTATGCACATCAGTACCTCTTAGCACTAGTTGCACTGATTTCACGGTGAATTCAAGAATTTTCGGCGAACCGCGGGTCTTACCTCCAGTGCTTTTCATGATTGAAGCATTGAACAAAGCGTTTCTTTGCCGACTTTTCTCGGTCAGTTGCAAACAGGATGCAAGTGATTACGAACAAAATACACCAGAATACACTTATCAACGGAATGAGACTGTTTTTTCCCTGAGAATTGGACAGACTTTCTTTTTCAAGGGCTTCCGGAGGTCATTCAAAGCAAAATCGTATATATCTACAGCGTAATTAACGAATATTCACTCCGCAGTCGTGATGTTCACTCCACGCCATCTTGAGACAAATGATCAGATTTTGAATACCGCCCATGATGCTTAGCGATCGTAGTGCGCACACCGCCTGTCTTCACTCAAAACAAAAACGCTTCTGAGATCATTTATCGAGGTTGTCCAAAGATTAAAACCTACTCAGTGTTCGTGTGTACTGGCAGGTTGTATGATTTTGATGTTTTCCAAATTCCTTAATAGTCAATGCTTTTATCGCACGCGCAGGTTTCCGAAAAACTGACCACCACTTTACACTCTTAAATCAAGTACTGGTGGCAGCCAGACTATGCAGCCTTTTAGTTGTTGTATAACTGAACAAATAACTTTGAAAACATCAAAGAAATGAATAAACAATTTTGTTTTAGACTGCTCATTCTTAAGTTCGAAGCATGGTGTTCGTTGTCACGCAACACCACTCCTTGTCTTCTCACACTTCCTAGCTCGCTGTATATTGTAACTGATTCTATGGATTGGTAAGAACATCTTTCAGATCACCGAAAATGTCTTAAAAACATATTTTTCTCGTGATATATTTTGTTCAACCACCTTAAGAATTTAGGTCATAACGTTCATTCGGTTTGAGTGACATTTTAGTAACCTGGCCCATCTCCAATGACCTCTCCTTAGAGGTCAAATTACAAAATGCGTTAGCGCCAGCAGAATTTTGGAGCTCGAGAGTAAGAAAAAGTTAAAAAAAAGGGGCCCAAACTATAAAGGTAAGTTAATTTCTATTACATGTTAGCAAATTAACTATCGTACTATAGAAGTACATCAGGTTTCTTCTCAGGAAATGCCAATGATCCCTTTCGGCAACAGCGAGGCGTTGGTGAATTATGCAAATGTCTCATATTTCACTCAAAATTTGTTCAAGTTCAGAAGGTTCGTCTGAAGCCCAAATTAAATTACCCAAGCCAGTTCCTAAATATGTTTTAGTACAATGTTTAACTAACTTATAGCTTGAGTTTCAGGAAAAACCAAGGTGTAGCACATGCCTGAAAATTAAATCGCGACTTTAGGTCTAAATTTCAACTTCGTTGAGTTGAAAAAGAACCAAAACTAAAATAAAATTGTTCACCTTCCACATTATCGTTACGTTAAGAATTAACCCCCATACTAGGGCTAAAACCCTTTACAAATTGATTTATCGGGGAATCTTTTTACCACGCTTTCTTCCTTTTTGCGTGCGAGCGAAGTTTTGAGATCCCCTTATTTTGCCTCAAATTTTGGTTGTTTTCAAGTCGCCGACTGCGAGAATTGATTTTGTCGATTTTCTCCAAATCCAAGCGGCCTTTTGAAAAACAAACTACACCACGTTTAGTTACTTACTAATAAGTATGTATGGAAAAGATATGAGCGAAATTTAATTTTTGACCGTGGCCGCCGGTTGCTCGATATTTACAGACATTCGTTCTTAAAGAGTTTCTTTAAAACTTTGGCCTATTTTTCGGCACGGTTTTATGGATACAGTAAACTGCCGCTTATAAGCCCTGGGCTTAAACAAGTTCGTAAGGGGTTTTGGGTGGGCTTGTAAACGGAAGGCCTTATATCCGGATGGGCTTATAAGCGGACGAAACTAAAAGTTTCGAAATGAGCAACAGCACTGTTGATCGACGTATGATTTAAATTTATTACTCTTACAATTGAAGCCTTAAAAAGGCTGCAATAATTCGAATTCAGTAAAATTTCACGCTGAACTTCATGTGAAAGGTGCGAAGTTCGTTGTGACAGAAGTTCGCGCCATTCAGTGCAGTTAGTTGGTTTGGTACATTTAGAGCAAATTGTTACAAGTGAATCGCATCTCGGTTCAAGGGAAAGCAATTCCAAGTCCTGTTAGGGATTCATTTGTAACAATTTGCTCTCAATGTACCAAACCAACCACCATAACTACACTGAATGGCACGAATCCCTGTCACAACGAACTTCGCAACGTTCACATGAAGTTCAGCGTGAAATTTACAACTTCGTTGCAAAGTTCGCGATTTGATTGACAACTACGTAATGAATTTGCTCAGTTCGTAGCGAACTTCGGGAATTTCAAACGAACTTCGGAAACAGTTTGTCAAAAGTTTTGTAAAACGCACTGTAACACTACAGGAGTACTATGAACAGTTACTTCAAAGCATTTGGCGAAATGTTGAAATAAAGATATAAAGATCGTTAACAATAAAATGGTAATAAAGTTATTGTTCCGTAATCTTTTCTAGTTATTTGTTGAAGTAATACTGTTCTCTGAGAGTGCTTAATATTAATAAAACAAGAAAACTGGAGGGGGGCTTATAATCGGATGTATTTTTTTGTTTGCATGTAGGTGGGCCTATAACCGGGGGGGCTTATAAGCGGCAGTTTACGGTATGCCTGGAACCACACATTTTCCAATTGATATTATCAAATAGGGTGTCTCAGTTCCAAGCCCAACTAGATGTGCACAAAATTCATGCAGCTAAAAATGGTAAGGTATGAAGAATTATGCAGATCAAGGAGGATGTTATTCATCCAGGCTGGAGGTCGAGGTGGATAACATCCTCCAAGATCTGCATAAGTTCTTAAGAGCGACGGTCAGGAAAAATCGACCAAAATCTTAATTTCGTGGCAAGAGTTGAAAAATCAATTTCTTTCATTTTTTTGTTCATAGATAGCTTTTAGGTAGATAAGAAACCTAGCTAAACTAGATTGTTCCTGCCAAAAGCCTTTTATATGTGAGAAAAATTAGAAGATCGGTTTTCGATGTCGGAGTGTCAGACTGCCCTAGTTTTTAACCTGAAATTCGCTAACATTAACTTTCCTCGCGTTCGCAAACGAAGCCGCATAGAGAAATTTGGACACTTTCCATGAACAGAAAAATTCTTTTTCTTCCACTAGAAAACACTTTCAGGGCATTATTGAAGCTCGTCGTACTGAAACAATTGAAAAATGAGGAATAGGTTTTCAGGATAACAAAAACGTTCGTTACTCATTTTCGACGGCAATATTTAACATGTGGTATAGCTCCAAATTCTCTTCATGCTATTTGAATCACACATTTAGACATTCATTTAAAACATACCTGGGAATTGGCTTGGGGTTAGGGAAGGAAATCTCTGTAAGACACCATCGAAGTTCAGGAATTTTCATTGTAGGCCGGGGTAAATGTGTGAACACTTCCAATTTCGAAAAGCACAAAAGCAGATATTTACAGCCTAAACGCTCGGTTTTCGTACTTCTCGTAGGTTTTCCTATTGCAAAGTTCCTTTTTTCAATCAAAGGGTGGGGTAAAAAGGTGAAACTGGGTCAATTTTAGCCATTTGAAACAGCGAACTCTACCAGCCTACGACTCTGCGTGACAATCTGTTCCGTGACTGCACTTGACATAACGTACGGTTTGAAGAGACGGAGACGTCAAAATGACAGTCGCGGATCACGGCGTAGTAACACAACGGAATTCTTGAAGGTGTAACATTTTCGATGACCGCTATTTTAAAGAAGAAAAAAGCAAACGCGTTAGCATTCTGGTACTCACTTTTTATCGAAAAATATGGACCTTAACAATGGTAATTCGCTAAGGATGGTGACGGAACAGTAAGATATTTCGTCTTGTTACTTTATGATCGAGGAAACTTGGAGCCGTTAAATAAGTTTAATATTTTGGTCACGATTTACTATGTTTACCGGACTTCGATGCGTACGTTTGGAGGCTGCCTTCAAGAACCCAAGCCAATTCTCAGGTATGCTTTAGCTGAATGTCTAGATTTGTGAATAAACGAGGAGCAGGGAAATTTGGAGCTATACCACATGAAGAATAATGCCGCAGAAAACAACTACTAAATTAAAGTTTTTGTCACCGTAAAGACCTGTTCTTCGTTTTTGAATAGACCTTGTCACGGTTTTCGACTCCATCTTGACGAGTAGTGTATGAGAATCTAATGTCGAATAATTTCCGTAGAACGGCTGTTCTGAAAAAAATATGATTTGTAAACTAAAGCCTCACTCCTAAGGATTCTCCTGAAAAAATTTGAGGGCGTTACATGCAGTAGAAGACCTAGAGCCACGTTTGAAAATTTTCTATACATTTGTCTGTAAGAAAGTCCCGGGAAAATTACAGACAAATATATGGAAAATCTAAACCAAGCCTCTGGAAAAATTAAAGCACAGTTACCGCTCCAAATTTTTTTAGGACAATCCTTTGCTTTGTAGCTTTAGTTTACGATTGATATTTTTTTCCGAACAGCCGTTTTACGGAAATTATTCGACATTAGATTCTCATACAAACACTGTAATTTCTCACACGTTTGCCTACCCGTCAAGATGGCGTCAAAAACCGTGACAAGGTGTATTATGTTAGTTCAACGAGTCTTGGTATTGCTTTGAAAGTGTCTTGTAGTGAAAGAAGAGTTTTTCTCTTGATGGAAAGTGTCCAAATTTCTCCTTGCGGCTTTATTTGCAAGCGCGAGGAGAGCTGATGTTAGCAAATTTCGAGTTGAAAATACGGCCATTTTCGGACTCCGACCACGAAAACTGATATTCTTACTTTTCTCGAAAGCAAAAGACTTTTTGCGAGAACAACTTACATCAGATTACTTATCTACCTAAAAGCTGTTTATGGGGAATAAATGGAGGAAATCGATTTTTCGACTCTTGCCACTCGATGGTCGATATTTCCTGACCGTCGCTCTTGACAAGCTTACCTTCTTAAAGACTTTCTTTAAAACTTTGGCCTATTTTTTTCGGCACGGTTTTATGGATATGCCTGGAACCACACATTTTCCAATTTATAATATTATCACACAGGGTGTCTCAGTTCCAAGCCCAACTACAACCCTGCTCAAAACGTCTTGGGACACTTAAGGAAATTAGGCGCAAACTTGACGCACTTTGCTGAGGGTCTCAATGGGGTGGTAGCTTCTACGGTTATCGGCTAAAATTTTGGCTCTTTTACGGCTGTCGGTTAATTTTTTCCAGTTACGGTTAACTACAAAGTTAAAAATCAATTTCTTTTGTTTCAAGGAGTTAAATATTAATAAAGCGGTATTTTTTGTATCTTTAAAGCAAAATAAAGGTCTTAGGATCATCTTGGGATGAAATAAGCCATTCTTTTGAAAAATTTTAACATTTGATAGATCATACTTTTTATAATGTATTCCACTTCAAATATTATTTTACGCATACAAATGTCAATAGTCAATTTAACAATCATCTTTGTGAAAAAGCAAAAGCAGACACGCAAACGCCCAACTCAAGGCCAGGGCGCGACATTCATTTATAACAGAAATGGCCGTTTTCACACTAGAGGCGGATTATTCGGGTGAGACAGGTTATCCGTTTGATAATTCGCGTCAGCTAGGTAATACGTCTTAATTTGAAAATGGAATGGTTTTAATTTTGAATCACAACAATCCGCCTGGCTTTCTCCATGAACTTTGACGGACAATTTAATTGAAGATGGATTATCTATTTCAGATAGCCTGCGTACAGCCGCCCCCCTCCCCTCAGAAGGCGAAAGGGAGAAGGGGTGTCTGTGGCGGAGGGGGTGACTGTACACAGGCTAGTCTCAGATGGATAATCCATTTCTAGCTCTAATGTGAAAACAGCCAATGTAAAACAATTCCTGCGTCCAGTGTTTTTAATGATAGCGAAGGACTGTACTGAACGACTGTCTGCCGTTGCCTTGTCCGTAGGCCTCATTATTCCGCGGCGTTTCGGGTCACGTGGTGTGAGCAAGTTTTTGATTGCGTGGGAAGACGCCGTAGCATCAGAGAAAAACAGGAAATTGTTACATGGAATTGTTGTTTATCGGCGACGTGTTATACAAAAAGTGACATCTCTGCGTGTTGCTAGTATTTCGAGAGCACGACCTCCTGAAAATCTCAAATATTAATCCCCAGCAAGAAGCCAGATTTTCGCTATGGGAAAAATTATTTCCCCGAGAGAGCGGTGGCGGAAATGGAGCCTAGGTCCAGGTCAACACCTAAAAGCTAGGCGCTTGGCCTAACGTGCGTACGCAGTCAAAGTAGCCGGGAAATAAAAACGCAACCATAAGTGAGTTTAGCACCTTCCTTAAAACTAACAAATCTAGGAAACAATTTCTTTTACGGTGAACTCTCTCTTACCCTATTTACGGCTAACGGTTAAAATTTTTCAATTTTTACGGCTATCGACTAAATTTTTGGCCGTTTTACGCCTATCGGTTAACCCCATTGAGACCCTCTTTGCTAAATTAACTCATATTCTACCTCTTAAAAAAGTTTGGGGATGTTGTTATAAGGGGCTATTTCTGCTGTCTCCCTCTCCCCCAAACAGTGTTGATTGTGTTGAATTAAAACTTGACTGCATAACGTCAACATTGCACCGAGCGGGAAGGGGGAAGGGAAGAGGCCTCAATTTGACGAGCTATTGTGTTAGTGTCCCAAGAGTTTTGGCCAGGGTTGTAGATGTGCACAAAATACATGCAGCTAAAAATGCCCTCAAGCGAGCATTAATTTGTCCATTTGCAACCTAGCTTGACCTATGAGCAGAACATCGATTGACCTGCACGCATCCAAACCTCTTCTTTCATTGGTCCCTATAACTCGCACTACCTATTGTTTTCAGGGATAGGGGCATTGTTATGTCACCATCCCTATTGTTTTCCAGGCCGATCACAAACCTTGTTTGGAATAGTTGCAGGTCAGCCCTAGAAAATCTGTTCTCTTGTCTGTACTAGTATGAAGCACATTATTACAATTCAGTACCTCAAAAAAGTACTGTTTTTACTAACTGATGTTCTTACCAAATCTGACAAATCTCAAGATTTGCGAATCATTTCCCAAGGAATTGAATGCTTGGCAAAGGTAGAATGCATTTTGTTGGTCTTTGGCAATTTTTACAGTGCTTTCATTTGTTGGTGTTGAGCTGTTGGGAAACAGCAGCTGACTAGGAACAGTAATCCACTTGTCTTCCTTAGGGACACAGGTACCAGAGTGAATGTCACATTCCAAGTTTTTGAAAGCATACTGCCAAATGAATGTTGGCA